ATATCACTATCATCACTGCTACAATATGCCAATATGAAGAGAAACAATTATTAAATTATAGCGATTTACTTTCGAAAGATAAACATGTAACCGGCCGATTTTGACAGATAAGCGAATGCCCATACTAGAGATAGCGCTGCCTACCGGAGAGTTACTTAAAACTCATATTGAAACGGAAGTAAGCACGATTTGTATGAGCATTCTATCTTTAGCAGGCTATCCGTCCTCCCGACGATGGATAGATAATTCCGATAGGAACTGCTGCCCGTCGATAGGTTATTGGAACGTAAGTAAGGACAAAAATATAGATTTGTCTATCTTTAGTAACCGAAACTAGGGATAGATAGGTTATTGAAAACGGCCGTAAATCAAATGTAATCTTTTGTTACAACTAACGCGCCACCCGTCGTGAAAATATGTATTGGCGTTTAAAATATCATGTAAATAAATTAACCTTCAGATAACCAACACTTACAAAGTTGAAACTTAATTTATTTACATGATATTTTAAACGCCAACGAACATAAACAAATGAAACTACAAACATCATTTTTATGTTATATTTATTTACGAATAGAGTAATTGTACTTTTTCTTTAGGTGAACGTTTTAGAATTCAACTAAATGGAACCAGTCAAATTGTTTCCGTTGAATTGGAGAAACAAATAATTCGCTTCCCAGATACATACAACACTATGGTTCGTCAACAAACTTTGAAAATTATTAACAAATCCAATTATTTACTTACGTATATGTGTATGAAAAATGAATCTGTGTATCATGGTTAGTTGCATATTTGAATTTTGAAAAATTTAACAATGATTTTTATTATAATATTTATATTTTTTTTATTGGCTTTACAAGAGCTACATTAAAAACGTTGACCAAAAGTTTTGCAGATTAGATTGATGTTTCTAGTCCAGTTATATTCCACGACAGCAAAAAAAGTCTTAATAGCATGCGAAAGCCAAAAGAAACATAAGTTTAACCTAAATATTGGTTTATTAAATTAAGCAGTGGATTTTTTTTAAGAAGTAGTAAATTTGCGAACATCAAGGATATTATTATAATTTAGTAATATATCACTTATAGGTCAGTAGCTTGAGAATTCCGATCCGGTAGTAAATTCATCCGCGAAGCGGCTGCTCTCGAGTTCTTAGGTCTCCTTCGGTGGCGCTCGGACAACTGTTAGCTAATCCCACTCTTTCTGGGTGAGCCTTTGCTAGCCCACCTGACCTTATGAAATTGGAAAGCATATTTGGTGTGGCATGGCGTAATGTAAGCCCGTATGTATGCGACCGATCTGGGCTGTTTCTGCCGCTAAGTGTTCTATGAAATTGAGACTTCGATCTCGGGTTCGGGGGCACTTTGATGTGGTATTGTTTTTGAGCTCCGTCCACTCCGTCAACAAGAATGTTTCTAATGTTCTATCATAATACATCAAAGTTTGTGTTTATCATTTCAGATTTTGAAGAAAAGGTAAAGCTTGCTAAAATATTTTACAATTTAAAAGACAAGGAATCCGCAAAGTCTGCTAAACTAGTCCAATACGGTATCATGAGCTGCGAGGAACATGAAAGAGTTTACACGAGGATATTTTTTGATGAAGTACAGGCACTTGTAGTTGACGAAAAATTGTTCTTTCAAAACATGCATTTCACTATTAATCCAATTGTTAGTTATTTATACGATAAATTACTATTTTTATTCAGATCAATTCAGATTAATTCAGATCAAGCGATAAGTGTATTATGTATTCTAATTAACGTGTGTTACAGAAAGGAAAGCTTTGGCCCAATGAATCAACAGACCTTACTGTCACGTTTGCACCTAAGGAACTAGGTGAAATAAATGCGTCTTTGTATTTAGACATTGAAGGCGTTGCGGATCGCGTACCGTTGACAATGGTCGGAACATCTATGCCTCCCCTAATAAATTTAAACTTAGAGACACTCAATATGGATCGTGTGTATATTAACAAGACTTATAACTACGAAGTGGTCGCTATTAACAGAGGTTCGTAGTTTTGGGATTTTGAAACTGAACATTTTAAATGTAACCACTCTGTATTCGTTCGTGCCAAATGCTATTATTGGATGTAGTTCAACTCTAAAATAATGAAGCTTGGAAGGCTCTGGAATGAATTCTCAAAAATCGAGTTTTTCAGTTCTTTGATATCTCTCTGTTTAAACTACTTTTAAGAAAAAAAAAATTACGGTTGTATGCTGCCCGGTGGGGGTGATCATGGGTGGAGAAACCATTCAATGTTAAGTGAGCCACATGCCGGCTTATCTTGGACCGCAATATAGAAAAAATCTCACCAAGTCACCAGGTCGAGAATTGTCTCCAAAAAACCATCTACCCATTGCTTTGTAAAATAAGTACATACATATACTCTTTCACTTTTAAAAATAATCTTATTTTGTTTGAAATAAGAATAGTTAAAGGTGTTCTGTATAAATAATAAATATAGACAGTTACCTAATAGTTAGTTTATTTACGACCATAGTGTGATTTTAAAATTTTAGTAAATGTCTCGAAATACGTAACGTTTTAGATTTGTCAATTACTACCAATATGTATGTTTTTCATCTAATTAATTTTGTTTTAAATTTGAAAAGAATGCTTAGAATTCACGAACTCATGTTTGAATTTTATCAGGGCATATAAATGGAGTGATAGAGTATAAAGAAATACCACCCCTATTTGGAAGTGTCATAAATTGTATACCAAAACGGCATTGTTTGAGAGCCGGAGATAAGGAGACGTTCATCGTATCATTTTGTAATTCGAATCAAGGACCATATTTCGAAGAAGTCAATTTCACAATCAGAGACACTGATATTGTTCTCAAGCTGTACCTAAAGTAAGATTTTATTGATATTATACTAAATGAAAGTTCAATAATTTGAAGGGCTCAGGTACATATGTATATGTTAACGCGTGTCTCAATAACTACTTCGATAAATAACAAATTTAACGCATTATGGTTTTTTAACGTTATCACGACCTATATAACTTATTAAGGAAAATACATGCTTGCGCGAATCCGACATTTTTTACAAGTTACATGCCCTATTTAAGTATAGTTTTGTCTATTTGATTATAATAACTATTTATTTTTCATTCTGAGAAATTTTAACGAATGAATAAACTTAGTCCGTGGTACCGTAGTTAGCGCCCTTGACTGTTAGGCTGAGGGTCGTAGATTTGATTCCTAGATCTGGCATACATTGATATGATGAACAAGTTTTTTTTTAATTGCTTATATGGGTGGGTGAGCTCACTGTTCACCTGGTCTTAATTGGCTACCGAAACTCAAAGATTCAGCGAAACACTGCTCTTGTTGGGGCAATGTGTTGCCAAATTCTTTCAGGTTGAGCCCGGGAGCACCCCTTACAGTCTGCGGGAAGCTGGAATAACACCTCAGGTACCCGTGCTTACATAGGATAAAAATCAGGGAATCCTAGTTTGGGCCTAGATTGTCTCGGACAATTTTTTTATTATTTTTTATGGTAGGCAGCGGCTTGGCTTATGGTAGGCAACGGCTTCGCTTATGGTAGGCTGCGGCTTGGCTATAGTAGGCAGCGGCTTGGCTCTGCCCCTGGCATTGCTGACATCCATGACGGTGACCACTTACCATCAAGTGGGCCGTATGCTCGTCTGCCTACAAAGGCAATAAAAAAAATCAAATAAGGGAAAAGTACGAAATTCGTCTGCAAAATAATAAGATTTATTGCATTCCAGGGGTGAAGTAATATATCCCTCACTAACGTTCAGTTTGCCTTGTTTGGATTTTGGGGTTGTAAGTTTAGGTGAGTTGACATTTCAAACTACCATGAAATAATTGAATGTCAGATTTAAGTTCAGATATTATTTCATTTATTTTACAGGAGTACCAAAAACGCTAGAACTGGATGTGATAAACGAATCCGTTGTTCAGGTCCGGGCGTCTGTTAAGATTTCCTCGGACGGACCGGAAATTAGCAGTATAACATTAACCGATTATGCTGTAGCATCAAAACCTAAGCCCAATGTACCTCAATGGCCGAGAGAGTTCAATATTGAACCTAGCAACATTGACATGGGACCTGAATCTAGAATCACTCTGAGGGTATATATCAGTGGTACAAAGCATGCAATAAATTTTGAAGTGAAACTTCTTTAGGCGCGTTGTGAGTAAAATTTAACTCGCGGCAGATTCGTTAGGGCTACAGAGAAAATATATAATTTAAAAAGAGAGAGAGAGTGAGAAAATAGACAGAGCGTCTTGCGAACCACTCGACTGTGGAGAGAGGGAAAGGACAAAGCGAGCTAGGTCGTTTCTCTTATATACAGCATTCCCTATTACTACAAGAGGTATTTGATTTAAGAATGAAAAATGAAGAGAACTACAATATTACACACCGCAAAAAAAAGTTTCACTTCTTTCACGTGCATCAGGTTGCACGCGAACCATTTTTTTTTAAACTTAAAACTAGGATTTTCTGCTGTGTTATTGGTGCCATAAAGATACGATACGAGAGAAGATAAACCTAGTCTAGACCAGTCAGAATTCTAGGAAATAATCATATATTATTTCAGCCAATAAACATGCTTCTTTCAGATAACGTTAACAGCAAATTTGATTAGAACAAATCAAACTTCTTTAGAAATAGAACTTGAAAAATCGGACAGCGCTCCCATCGTTTTGCCTGTAGTTTTTAGTGCTGTAGTCCCGGAGATAGTACCAGCCCAAGATATCAAACTACGAGCGTGTTTCATAGATTTTCCATACCAACACGAAATAAAAATAACTTCTAATCAATTTTGGGGTTATTTTACGGTCGACGAAATTAAGGTAGGTTTTTTTTAATTATTTTTAAATGTTTGAAGTATCATGCTTTTTATTTTGTGTCAGAAAAATTTTAGCCTAACTTTAAAATTTAACTTCATGATATGGTTTCAATGGTTCAATGGTTTCCAATGATGGCCTATATCATTTTGAATTTTTTATTTGAGTAATTATTGTGGCGTATTAGTTATACTAGTGCTAGCCCACTAGTCGAAATTCGACCATAATTATTGATACCACAAGTTTTAGATTCAGTATTGCATTCTCTTTTTATTTTGCTACTGGTTTTTTTTTATGTACGAAAATGAAAATGAGGTTGGTAAGAAAATGTTAACTGTGAATGTGGAAGGATATAGAGGAAGAGGTAGACCTAAGAAGTAATTGATGGATTGCGTGAAAGACGATATGGGTAAGAGGGGAGTGAGCGAAGAAATGGTATATGATAGAGGAGTATGGAAAGAGAAAACATGTTGCGCCGACCTCAGGTGACTGGGAAAAGGGCAGGATAATGATGATGTACGAAAATAATTGTTTAGAAATTTTATATTATGATTGCAAGCACTTAAATGTCGCAGTAGTTATGACACAAAAAACAGATAATCGGATGACGAAAAGGGTAGAAAAAAAGCATGAAAATGATTTGTTTTTGTTTGCAAATTTAAGGAACAATCCACGTTAGAAGTTGATGTTGCCGTTAAAGAGTGCTTGATCGAACCCAACAGCACAATATGTTTACCGGTAACGATAAAAACAAGTGTACTTGGAGAACAGGAGTTCATTGTGCGGTAAAAAACTTTAACAACAATTCATGTGTTCTTTTTTGTCGTCGAGGGCGATAATACTTTATGAAGTGATAATACATGTTAATAGTACCAACCCCCACAGATCGACATCTCTAAACGTGTACGTTAATCAGTTGAAGTTTCACGGATTTAGTTTTATTATACGATTTTTATCTCTCATCTGTTACACAAGATAAATACATAATACTGCTAAAACCTCGAAATAGTACCTACTTTGGAATAAAATTACAAGATAATCGCATTTTCCTAAGTACACTCGGTACCTTGCTATTACGTTAATACAGTTCTCAGAAACTCTATTGAACTCAGGTAGAGTCCGTGAGCTCACCTACCGGTCCGTGAGTATCTCGAATAACATTTTTTTGCCTTAACAGACTGCATCTTTTCGGCTTGACGAAACCTATTGACATATGCCGCATTACGGGCTGTGGTGTGCGACCTATCGTCACGTGTTCCCCTATGGCTCTGCATTGGGGTCAGGTTAAATTGTTGACTAAATCTCAAAAAGTGTTAACGCTATGCAATGACTCCCCGGTGACTGTTACATTTAGGGCATCTTTGGTAAGATACATTTTAATAATTATTGACATTAACTTTAGTTTGACCAAAATATTGTCATAAATAATGAGAAGTTCATTAAATCAATTTTGATAAAGTGCATCCAGTTTTTATAATTATAGGTAACCTTAAAACTATTTACTTAGATTTTTCACTGTTTTAATGTAAATTCTTTTTAAACTTTAGTTTCCTATTTCCTTTATTATAGTTGAATAAAGATAGTCACTGGAGTATTCGTCCTTCTGAAGGCTACATTGACCCTGAGTCCGAAACAGATTTATTCTTTACACTCTATTTAATCGACGCCGATTTATATACGAACAAAGCTGTGATTCAACTCGAAAAAGTTAAGGAAATTGTAAGTTTCTATTTGTTGGCCATAAGCAATAAGCTTTAATATTTAAACGTTAGATTTGAATCTTAATAGCAAATCGACTCAATGGTTTGAGTTTGAGTACCATAACATCAAACAATACAAACATGGTAGGAAAAAAAGCGTTTAAATAACAAGCCGAACTTAAATTAATTTCAACATTTTTGATCCTACTGATACTGGTCAGAATATTAGAGCTAAGTTATGCAATGATTGTATTGTCGACGGTCTTTGATGAGTATTCAAATTTTCAAGTTAAGCGGACGTCTTGAAATTGGTAAAAATGACATTCAAAGTTACTTACTTACTACTTACTGGTGGTAGGACCTCTTGTGAGTCCGCACGGGTAGGTACCACCACCCCGCCTATTTCTGCCGTGAAGCAGTAATGCGTTTCGGTTTGAAGGGTGGGGTAGCCGCTGTAACTATACTGAGACTTTAGAACTTATATCTCAAGGTGGGTGGCGCATTTACATTGTAGATGTCTATGGGCTCCAGTAACCATTTAACACCAGGTGGGCTGTGAGCTCGTCCACCCATCTAAGCAATAAAAAAAAAAAAAAAAGGACTTCTTGTGAGTCCGCACGGTTAGGTACCACCGCCCTGCTTATATCTGACGTGAAGCAGTAATGCGTTACGGTTTGAAGGTTGGGGTAGCCGTTGTAACTATATTGAGACCTTAGAACTTACATCTCAAGGTGGGTGGCGCATTTACGTTGTAGATGTCTATGGGCTCCGGTAACCACTTAACACCAGGTGGGCTGTGAGCTCGTCCAACCATCTAGGCAATAAAAAAAATAAAAAAACATAAACCATTGATACACAGATATTGAACGAATAAAAGCGTGTTAAGTATCAAAATAGGTTGTCTTATTTAAAAAAATATAAATATTTAATTGTGAAAAACTTGCGTTATATCAGTTAGTGCCGCTCTCAGCTACGGGAATCGGTACAAGTATTGTAGTCGGGGAGCTCCAGGACCATATCGTACTCGGACGACATTTCACAAGAGTTCCGTTTACCTGCAAAGTGATCATGGAAAACTTTGGCACCCGCTTACACGCATTAGAGTGGAGTGAGCATTACAAAGCGCCAAAAAATAAACAACCAACTGTGTATGTATTTTATTTACTATTATCAAATAATGAACTATAGACAATTCTATACATATTTTTGATAGACGTACGTAAAACCGATTGCTGGCGGTGTGAAGCGTCGCCATGTGCAAGCGACGGTTTCTTAATATTCATATTTTATTCTTCACAATGCCACATGAATTCCCTGTCGTAAACTATCGCTTTATGCATCTATACCTGTACAAAATAATATTAATGTTTCACATCTGCCATCCTTTCCGCGATGGCTCATATTTAAGTTGTTCATAATTTATCTTGTTCTGTTAGGAGCTTCTTTACTCTTGAGCCTAAAGCATTCAAGATGGGCTCAGGAGAAAAAATGGAATTAGCAGTGAGCGGAACGTCTTCGAAAATTACAACGGTAAAGGAAACCTGGTACCTCATAGGCAGTATTGAAGGTGTTAATAAAAAAGAGCTATTACTGGAATGCCAAATCACAGCAGAATTCGTAGATCCAAATATAGAAATTTCATCGCCTGTCGTAGAACTACAGTACGATCATGGGCCGTATAGCGAATATTATAAATTAACTGGTAAATTTAAAAAAAAGTAATCTTTAACTATTACATTTTTGCTCTATGAGATTTCTAGAGCTATTGAGATAATTTGTTTATTCCAGATATTATAAGTATAAAAAATGTGGCGAAATTACCGTTGGATCTGGATATTACAGTGAAACCGCCATTTGCTATAATTCAGAAGCAAAACACTTACAAAATTCAACCTGATGAAGAAAATCTCTGTTGTTGTATTCGCTACAATGAGAATGACTTGAATTTGCCAAGTATTAACAGTGAATATGGGCCTAGAAAATCACAGGAACTAATCGACTTCTTGACTTTGAAACCGGTCGAGCCTCTACGCTTAGGACCACTTAAGTTCTTTGAAGATATACATAAAATAAAAAAGGCATTTACATTAACCCACTCTGTTGAGGAACGCTTGGAAGATGAAGAAATTATGAAACTTCAAATTTTGTTTGATACAACAAAACATTCGAGTTTAAAATCCAAAGTTTACTCGGATTTGATGAAAATAAAATTTAAAGGCCACAAAAATAAGGTTGCTTGTTTGTTTGTATTTTGTTTGAGCGTGTGTTTGTGTGAGTTTTACGTTTTTTTTTAAATATGTTTTTAGGATGCTATTAAACTGATTGGAACAGTAAATTTTCCTAATCTGTTGGTTTTATCCCCAAAAGTGGACTTCCAGTGCCTACTTAATGAGAGCGTAATCAGCAAAACAATAAAAATACAAAACGTGACTCCCCTCTTAGTTTGCTACATGCTACATTGGAAAAAATATGTAGTTTCCAACGGAGCGGAGGTGAGTTGTAAGTCATTTATTAGTAATAACCGATCTACTATCAGCGAAAGTAAAAGCTAATTTCCTTTGTTATAGCCACAACCGAATACTTTTAAGCGTTCTAGTTATGCAAGTGATATCAAGGCGCAAAGTGACGAGACTGAATCTAATGGTTTGTATTTTTAAGCCGTTTTTGCTTATTATGACAATAGACCGACGAACTACTTACCATTATATGGTAAGTGGTAGTAATTAATACACTTTTAATTAATCTTGAGGGTAGATAGATCGTGGCACGCTCAACATCGACTCCGATAAAAATTAACAAAAATTTAATCTAAAAAGTGACTTGAGATACATTATATAAGTGTGTACAGAGACTTAGTGCTAAGGGAGCTGGTGAAGATAAAATACAGTGGAAACACAAATATCAAACTCATAAAAACTCGAATCAAACATTGTGCAAACCATCTACAAAGTTTTGATCTCCAAGGCCTTCTGAGAGCATTTATGCGTCTTTTGAGACACAACACCTCAAGCCAGAACACACTTGTGTAAGTAATAGTGAAATTATTAAATCAAAGTGAAGAACAAAACAAGTGCAAACTATCATATGATAATCGATAAGATTGTTGTTTTGGAAATCATCATAGCTCCAATCAGTGTAACATCCCACGCGCCATCTATTACAACAGAAGCTAATTACCACGTCACACTCATCGACGTCAAGTCAAGAGCTAACTAAAACAAACACGCACCGCTAGAGGACATCACTTGCATCATAACAAACCGTAACGATGGAAGAAGTTTTAAACACGCTAATTTCAATAAAAAAAGAACTGGAAGAACAAAGAATTGAAATTAGAGAAACTGGAAAAAATGTTACGGAAAAAGTTACACAAAATATTACTAGTATATTCGAGGAGAAATTTTTGGTCTGGGAAGGAAAACTTGGAGAAATGAAAGAAAAAGTGGAAAATCAAGAAAAAAGAATTCATTACCTGGAAAAACAAACAAGAGTAAGAAACTTAGTATTTTTCGGTATCGAGGAAAACGAAACATCATACAAGAGTTTCGAAGAAAATATAATTAAATGGATTGAGCAATATTTCTCTATCAAACTAACCTACAGCGACATTCAAGAGATAAAAAGACTGGGAAAGAAACAAGAGAGACCACGTCCAACTGTTGTAACTTTCACTACACTAGGAATAAAAATCGAAATATTTAAACAAAAAAGAGCGCTGAAAGATACACAGTACTATATGAAAGAAGACTTCCCCAAATATGTACTTGAAAAAAGAAAGGCACTACAGGAACAACTGAAATTAGAGAGGGAAAAGGGAAATACAGCTATACTCAAATATGATAAACTAATTGTATCAAAATACCAAAGTAAAAGAAAATACCGGTCATCTCCAGACAATACCCCACAAATCAATATAGACAAGTATACTCAGGCTAGTAAAAAAAACAAGACAAAGCAGATTGGCAAGACAGTCACTAGGTCAAATAGTATCACAGAAGGAGTCATAAAACCTAGCATGCTCAACTTCTTAGTTAACAAAAATACAATCAAAACTAACAACAACCAAGAAAGTAACAGCGAGAATATATAGCAACTAAGCCCCTCCTACCACAAAGATGCCACAATCGAACAAAATAACATACAAAAAAAAAAATATAAATGTATATAAAAAAATCTTCCAACCCGGTTGGTCACCGTGGAAGAATACGACCATAACCCTCCAGAGAAGTCACCAATAGAGGAAAGAAATACCCTAGATAAATATAAACTAAGCATTAATGGGCATCACTGGAGGAGGCCTTCACCCAATCTGGGGTTCCAGTAGATTAAATAACTACATAATATTAAGTAAACATAACTATATAATATTAAGTAAACATACTAATTATATTAAGTAAGTGATAAAAACTATATAAAAAAAATAATTATATAATATTAAAATCAAATAATAAAAAAATAAAAAAAAACTAACACATAGATAGATTTTAAGCTATGTAAATTTACTGGAAATAAAAAGGCTTTATTATTATTATTATTATTATTATAATTAATCTTAAATGCATTTTTTTAAATAATGTCAAAATAAAAAACACAAATAATTATATAATAGTAGAAAAATGGAACGCACAGTTAAACTTATATCTGTGAACGTAGCGTAGCACATGTAATTAAATAGAGTAACTGCTATTTTTATTTTATTGGAATCGGCGCTTGATATTGGATTGCCAAAACAGGCTTGCATAAATATTGTATGTTAGCAATATCTCAAGATTAAAATAATCCAGAATTATTTGCTTTGGAATTAGTATTACTAATCATGAAATAAAAGTGAACCACTAGTGAATTCCGACCACATTTCACTCCGGTTTCGTTGAATATATGAAATATTTGCGTAACGATTTCTTCGAAGTGCGAGCATTTTTTGCTAAAACAAACTCAGTCGTTTGAAGTATAAGAGTAAACTCGTAAGATACGATTAAACAAACATCTAAATACTTAATTTCTAATATTAAATCAACGCTAAAACACAAATTGTTTTCTTTTAGTTACCAGCGCCAATGAAATGATAGAATGTCGGGCATCCGTTATTTCAAATTTTAATAAAGACTTTGATAACTATCCGAAATCAATGAATACAGAAGCGCTCGTTAACGGCCATACGACTAGTGATTTAACAAGTTCCGAGGAAATGAAATCAAATATATTACAAATATTAACACCTATGCTATATCCAGAATATGATGAAAATTTCTGTTGGGTTTCAAAGTTTCCGAAAAAGTGTAAGGACAATAAATTCGAGATAAACCAAATATGTCAGGTGATACCACATCGAGGAATTTTGAAACCGGATGAAATACAATATATACATGTAATATTTAGGCCACCTCCTAATGTTAGCGTTCGCGCTATTTTAGAATGTGAAGTTTTAGGAGGTCCGCCTGAAAGTGTATTAGTCACCGGTCAGAGTTCAGATTTGAGGTATAACATTGATGCGAAGAGAGTAAATTTTGGAATAAGATCTTTTTACGAGAAGGCGTCTTTAAAACTGTCGATATCAAATGTAGCACAGCTGCCGTTTGAACTTAAAACTTATTTAAACGAACCAATGAATGAAAATGTATTTGATGCACTTATAATCGATTTAATACCACAACAGCAGGTATTGGAGCCCGAAGAAATAGCAGATATTAATATACTGGTATATCCTGGAGTGACAGGATGTTTCAATAGAAATTTTCTGTTAGAAATAGGTCATTTACCATATTTTCCGATTGAAGTATGCGGCTGGGGGGTTATTCCTCAAGTTTATATCGTGTTACCGAGACCAGATATTTGTCAAGTTAGTAATCTTAATGATCGACATCAGATCAGAACTATTTTAAAATGAATTTAAATCGACTAAGCGCTTCTAATCGATTTGCAGTTAAACGTAGAGTTCGGCTATGAAGCAATTTCTACATTAACTTTGGAGTACTTAGAAGCAGTTGGTGAAATTTTCCACAAAAATAATTCAGAACATTTGAACACTCCGCTAGTTGAAAAATGTTTTGAAGATCCATTTTTCCAATGTGATTGGCATATTTGTTCACCTTGGGTACTGTATCGAACGTTTTAAAAACTACTTAGGATTTCTTAATTATAGTAAGAAATAGAAAAACGACGCTTGTTGATTCAATACTCTTTAAATATCGTTGATTTTGCACATAAATAGAAATCCCTCCGAGAGTATGTTCATAGCTAGGCCAGGTGGTCTGGGCGCCAACAACAACTTATACGTGCCTCTAAACATATAAATGAATACAAAAATAAAGTTTAAACATACTTGTTTAATACATTTGTGTTTTAATTGTTTTAGACCTCATTTCTTTAGAACGTCAATCAATATATTCAATATATTTTTCAGGATTACTTTCCTTCTAAAATGGATATTGAATTAGCAATAGAAAGGAAATTAGTAGTGTACCACTTGAAACAGAGACCAGAAATTTTGAGGGCATATTCAACAAGTAATAAAAATAACTCGATTACTGGATTCAGTACGACACCTTACGTCATTGATTTCGGTGTTGTAATAACGGGTACTACGGTAAGAGAATTTAAAATAAAACAATGTAGGAAAAGATCTTGTCTATCCTTCGATTGAGAGGTTTGATTGAAGTTTTTAATTTTAAAATGATGGGCAATGAATTAATTGTAGGTTCACCGAATTATAGAAGTAATCAATTATGGACCGGTTCCTACGAAATTACATTTCGCAAAAGGTACCCAGTTCCCTACTTGGCTGACTATGAAGCTGTGTGGTAAATTAAATCCTGGCGATACGGGAAAACTGGAAGTTGTCTTCTCCCCATCATCTGACGATTTTCCGGAGTTAGAAGATACAGTAGACACTTGTATTTATTCAGAGGTACGGTGTAAGGTATTTCAGAAGGGCTTTATCAAAAAAAAATAAGGCAAATTTGTTAACTCATTTCCAATTCAGGTACCATTCGGCGTTACGATACCGATTAAAGTAAAATCTATTTGTGCCGTACCGTATTTAGTATCGAGCGTGAAAGAAATTCATTTTGGATCTGTCCGATGCGGCGATAAGATTATTTGTTCCATACCATTGAAGAATATGTGAGTAAATACTATTTCTGAAAATAAAATTCTATTTTAGTTATTGTCATGAAAATCACGTTTATAAGTTTATAATTATACATACATTGTCAACAGCGGTAAGCCGACGTGTATTTGGTATGTGACATTAAAGCTTAAAACATCTGGACCGAATCCCATGATGATTTTGGATAGTTCAGGAAAATATGAACCTGGCGAAGGAGGTTGGCTGAGCATCGCCTTCAAGCCTACTCTAGAGGTTTTCACAAACTTTTATATTATATTATTAAATGCAGACAATTTAGCCTGGTATACCTGCTGTTAAGTGATCGCAGGAGTCCATAAATATCACAACCTGTCACAAGCCAATCAGGTTAACCTACCAGTTCCATCCGGGACGCATGACTGCTTCTCACCAGACATATGCTGTATGATTATGAAAAGGGTTCACAATACTTAATAACCACTAATTACTTCATATTCGAAGTTGCTCGTGCACATCTGTTAGGTACACGCATATTTCATTTAAAAAAATGATATCTACCGTCAAATAGCCGTATTGCTCAATATCCCATTTTCTATTATCCCGGAGGGTTCAGGATTTCTTACTATTAATCCCTTTTACATTGTAGATGACATATGAAGGAATCTTGATATTTAGATTCCATATGAATCCCAATCGAATGACGATCCCGGTGTATGGACAAGGCGTCGTGCCTCATGTCCACGTGATTGGGCCAAATGTTGATTTCCCACCGACTCTGCCATGGGCTGAAACGAATTATCTATATTTCGGGATTACAAATCCTTGCTCGTTCCCGATCGAAATTATAATCGCACATAGTGATGAGTAAGTATGAATAAATGTAGTATTTAAAATGTCAGTAAGGCTGTATAATTTGAATTTTGTATTTTAAGACAACACTTTGTAATTATCCGTTAGGAAAAAAACCTAAACCTTCGTACTTCAATTGTAACCGATGCTAACTTTTTGCTTTATTGAATAATGGCTTAATGAGCTCATGACCCACCTGGTGTTAACTGGGTTCCACATATAGACGTTGAAACTTGAATTCCAACACTTCGAGACAAGAAGTCTAAGTTGTAATAATAATTGGACTAGGGTTGTACAACCCTTCAAGCCGAAATGCATGACTGCTTCGCGGTGGAGACGATCAGTAGATTACCGTACCTACTGTGCGGACTTACAAAATGCCCAACCATCAATATTTTTTATTACACGATTTTGTTCCTTCGTCATGAAAGTCGTTCCTGAACGGGTATTAGAAACGTATTTCCTTTGAAAAAATCGTACCTGTCAGCGGGATTTGGAATCGGTTTAGTCGCATCGCTTGATATGAGTAGGTAGGTATACCTACTGAGTGTTGCTGCGTGAGGCCCCGACCCAACAAAATAAAAACTAAATAATGTAGATTAAAAACTACAAAAATCGTATAAATAGTAGTAGTAAAAAATAATGAAGAATAAATAAAAAAGTAATAATATAAATAAATTATTAATAAAAATATGTTTTCAACGTTACGTCATAACAGTATAAGATATAGGTATTCCAAAATAAACTATTATTTTTAATAACCTTACCGGATTTTAGCGTCGCCTTAAGCCTTATTATATAAATAATTTAATTGAGTTACTCTAATTTTCAATTTATAATAGAAAATGGAAGGAAGAAGATGAGATATACCAATTATTACACAAGTATTACAGCAAACCCGATGAAATGTTAGTTCCTGCTATCAAACCCGGTATTGGCTTCCCGCCGGAGGTTGTTAATTTCTACAAAAAGTTTACGGAGCAAGTTAGGAAGTAAGTTTATTTTCAGTATGGCTTTCAACAGGCGTTTAATCAGTTCCAAATAGAGAGACAACAACATGAATGCTACCACCCCTCAACCAGCGAAACGCATGATTGCCTCACGTCGTGAAGACCAGAAGTCGTCGTGGCCTAAGCGATAAGACGTCCGGTGCATTCGTGTTGAGCGATGCACCGGTGTTCGACTCTCAGGCGGGTACCAATTTTTCTAATGAAATACGTACTCAACAAATGTTCACGATTGACTTCCACGGTGAAGGAATAACATCCTGTAATAAAATTAAGCCCGCAAAATTATAATTTGCGTAATTACTGGTGGTAGGACCTCTTGTAAGTCCGCGCGGGTAGGTACTACTACCCTGCCTATTTCTGCCGTGAAGCAGTAATGCGTTTCGGTTTGAAGGGTGGGGCAGCCGTTGTAACTATACTGAGACCCTTAGAATTTATATCTCAAGATGGGTGGCGCATTTACGTTGTAGATGTCTATAGGCTCCAGTAACCACTTAACACCAGGTGGGCTGTGAGCTCGTCCACCCATCTAAGCAATAAATAAATAAAAACGTCAGAAATAGCCAGGATTATGGTACATAGCCACGCGGGCATCGCAAACCTGACAACAACGTGATCTCATTTAACTTTCATTAATTTTGTTTTGAAAATAGCTGTGAGTAAGGGAAAGTGACGTGTAATTTTTGACAGCTCGATGCTAGATACCGATGTTTCTATTGCATCGAATAAAAGCTATCACATCATTAGAAGACATATGAGATTAATCACTATACGTTTGTTTGCTGAACAGGTTTGTTTGCTTTTCGTCTGGGTGTTTATTATCTAGGTATATATATGTATATATTTAAACTTATATTTGTCACTTTGTGGTACCCGTTACACAGGGAATTCTATTTTGAGGCCTGATGGCCATGCGTGATTTATTCCCAGTTATCCCATTTAGTTAAATTGTACTACACGTGCTATTTACATATTTTTAATGAAACAGGATTAAGGATGACGAAGCTTCCGCTGCAACAGCCGCAAACCTCAAGACACCATTAAAGTATGATGATTTTTTCAGTTACTATATTTTAAATATTTGATATACACATTAAAAATAATAAATGATAAAATATAAAATATAAATGAGCTTAAGTAATATTACGGTTTTACATAACAATAAAACCGATATTATGTGCCGAGAAGGAAAACATACAGCATTGTATTATGAAGAAGCAGTGTGTACTTAGCTTAGATTCCTTGTCTATGTCCAACCATAGACCGTCAATTTAGTTCCATCTTTAGCCGCTAGGTGCTGCCAGCAAGTATAAAGGGAGCGCAGCCATCTTTGATCTNTGGACTTGCGACTTCACAGTACGAAAGTACACAACGCTATGAAGATCAAAGATGGCTGCGCTCCCTTTATACTTGCTGGCAGCACCTAGCGGCTAAAGATGGAACTAAATTGACGGTCTATGGTTGGACATAGACAAGGAATCTAAGCTAAGTACACACTGCTTCTTCATAATACAATGCTGTATGTTTTCCAAAGGCACATCAATAATACTATTTTTAAGAATGAATATTTTTATAAGTTATTATAGACGTCAGTTTCTTTAGTAATAGTTATTTTTGTTTTTTTTTTTATAAAATATTATACAGTTAAAAAAAATTTTTAATGAAAGGGAAATAAAGAATCTTTTGTTATTTGTTATTGCTGATGTCCATGAGCGATGATAACCCTATCGACCTATCGATCTGTATGGATCGGTACCCAATCAGCCGTGTAGATACGAAGAAAATAAATAACTTTACTATTTCAAAACGTTTATAAATAATATACAATATTGATCATTATTATTTCCTTTTTTGCCATTTCAGAAAACCCGGAAAAAATCCTAAATCTACAACCAAGTCAACAACACCTAAAGAATCTAGTCCGAGGATATTCAGAACGGAAGCTGAAATTATCGCAGGTTTTTATTTCGATCCAGAATTATTAATCATAACCAAATACTATATAATATTATATTTACTTATATAGGTATAAACGAAAATAATATAAAAAGCGGTTTTGTACTTTTCAATAAACATGATAATGTGGGAGCATTATGGTTTTATTGAATCGACTCTGGAATTTTATTAGTGCATATGTAAATTTTTATGACTAACTAACACTGTCTGATGTTGTGTAAATGATAATGTAAATCTTATATTCTTATAATGAATGTAGAAATGTGACAAACACCATTAAGGCACAAACCCACCAATAAATAGCTCTGAAAGTGTATTATAAGATGACATTTAACTAAAATATATTTAGAACAATTCAAAACTATACTTTTTACGGAGATTTTAAACTATATTTTACGGAGATGCCCATTTCCGTCAAATAAAATAAGTCTAAAATGTTATTTCGTTATTGCATTTATTTTCAGATGAAATAATAGCAATGAAAGACCGCCAGGTTGATCCTTTGAAAGAATGTTTGCATGTCTTTGAAAATTTATCAACAGTTACTGAATTCGATAAACATTCGAAGGGCATTATTATCTTTGTACACGGATCTCCATGTGAAGGTATTGAAAATTATAAACGGAACTTATAATTTATAGACATTTTTTTTATTAAATTCGTAAGCATATTTCTGTGTCATTCAAAACTCTTTGAACTAATCATGTTCATAATTTCAACAAATTGAAATTGATTGATTATGATGTATTTTTGAGAAAAAAATCTTGAACTTTTCAATTTGTGTTCTTAGGTTTTCACTAATTATTTGCATCTAAATTTGTCTAGATCTAGCTCCCTATACCTATAGTATTATTAACTTAAATTTTAAAATAAGTATGTATCGGGGATAAGATTAGAATAAATTTGTTTTGATCAAATTTAGTATCTCCTCCAAATGAAATTCTCGCCAAAATCTATGCCTTTATGATGTTTCAGAAATACAATGTCAAGAAATTGCGTACTCAATTGGGAAAAAATTAAAAATTCCAACTATAAATATAGATTTGTGTATTGTCGAAGCACTGTGCACTCTTGAATGTTCAGCAAAAACGCTTATAATGAATGCCCTTAATGAGTGCTACGAAATGTTTCGGAAAAGAACCACTGATCATTTCGCCGATAACGAAAACGATGCCGCTAATGATGGTTAGAAATAGGCTATTTTATTTTATATTATATTGCAATAAAACTAATCAGTGTATGTCATAAAATACAAGACATAGGTATATGTATGTATGTATATGTATCTACATCTGAGCACATATCTATACGATAACACTATCATAAAACCAAATGGATTTTAAAAATACCAACATTCGTCGTTTTTGTTTCTGTAGAATGTTCAAGTATTTATTAAATGATAATTATAATTAAAAAAATTATTTGAATTTCTCTGCTGTTTATCTTAGCTTAGAAACTTACATTTTTAGGCTATTTTCAATTGTATTTGCATTATCAAACGGTTTTTTTATAGAGACTCTGATAGACAATGAAGACGAATTCGACATGATACTTCGGAAATTGCAATATCTAGTTATAAATAAAAACATACCGACGCCAAGATCTAAAGGTAGTGAAAAAAAGAAGAAGAAATCTCCGAACTCCTCAATGACATCGCATTCAGCATTAGGGGCACTTGGCTCCACGACTATGTTCAATATGGTATCGTGCCTTTGATCGTGTAGCGCTAATTTTTAATATATTAAATCTATAAAATAACAATATTAACTTTTTGTAGGACTTAATACAAGAGCTACTGTCAGAATTTTTCGAGCTACCTAAGTTTAATAAAGGCTTTGTAATGGACTCTTTGTCTAGTACAATATTTAACAATCCAGTTTTAGTTTTGACAACGGTTTTGAAATGCAAACATTCAATATGGAACATTCACCTCGTATTGTGTCAGTCGGATTTTAATAAGTGGGCTCAAGCGCACGACGAGTCACAGAGAGAAACGGATTTTCTTGCTGAGTTAGTATTGTGGTACCAGACCTCTGCCCGGGATAGACTTCGGTCATTATATGATATCTTTATGCAAATTATTTCAGGAATATTTCTAAAGTGTACGAAGAAAACGAAATTAAAAATATCGTTGAAACTGTAGAAGATATGACAGCGGAGGAATACGAAAATGCACCACCAGAGCTACGGTCGATTTATCAGACGTATGGTTTAGAGGAACGAAGAAAAAAGTACAATATAATAGTAAAGTCAGTATTATTTTAACGAATCAATTGATGTATTAAACTTTTTTTAATTTTGTGTGTTTATAGCATGATTTTTATTTTTATTTTAGACCTGTTAATGAAACAATTAAGAAGGAAAAATTTGCCAAAGGTATTTTTCTTGAACTAGTTCGTTGTAGTTTTAATGCGATTTTTATTAAAACAATTTAAGAATTTATTTTTAATTTTAGAACATAGCAAATCACTTTTGGCGGTTGAAGGCTCAGAGTCCAGGAAAAAAATAAAAAAGGACGACGTGAAAGGTATAATTATATATTAGTTACGTCTGTCAAAAAAATAACGACTTTTAATTTCGTAAGAAGATAATTATTAAAAACCAAAAATATTATTCGGATTCCGTAGCGAAACCAACAAGCGAATATTTAGCAATGAATACAAAATATAACGAATATTATAAAAATACGTACGAGAACCTCATTAACATCGCCAACAATTGGATTGTGGAGGACTGCGATGTTGGAACTCCTTTAATAGGATTGAACGGGCAAGTCGTCGGTTCAGCTCAGAAAAAAACAAAAAAGAAATCTGAAGTTCAGATACAGGTAATTCTAACAATTGTATTTTGCATTTAACACATTTTATTTATTTATTCTGGGATTCCAACAAATGATATACACTAATGTTACTGCTGCTAATTTTGCTAACTTGCTAGTACTGTTAATATTGTTAAAATAATAGGTAATTAAGTGTTCTTAGGTTGTGGACTGTTTCAATTAGAGAAAACACAGAATTCACGGAAAATAGAACTATGTAAACACTAAGCACAATGGGGGTAAAACATACATAAATAAAACTTGGATCCCAAATTGGAACAAATTAATTATAATCTAAATACTCTCATCTAAAATAAAACCACCATGTTAGCCTTCAGAATAGAGAAAACAGGAACAATTAATAATTAGCTAAACCAAAACAGCAAAACGCAATAAAGAAATATAATTTTATGTGTGCTTAAAAATAATATGAAGTGGTACCCATTGTATTTATTTTTTATTATAACTACGCTATCCATAATTTAAAAATCTGAGTTAATAGATGTTGACTGCAGAGTGGGGAGTAATGATTAAGGTTTATTGTAAGACTTGGAATAAATGTAAAAAGTGGGAAAATATTGTAAAGGTTACGTTTTATAGCCTAAATGATCTGATTGTTTTTAGCATTTAATATGTTTGTTTAAATACATTAAAATTAGGTATGTGATAGACTATAAAATGTTTAGTTACCGATATGCTGTGGTATTATAAAAAGGCAAAAAGAATAAAGGATTTTATAAGCATATCAAAACGATGCTAATACAATGCTACTACTTTGATACAAACACCATAATACTAAAAGTGCACTAAACGTATCTATGTAGACAGATTTTTGAACTACCATATAATATTGTTTGTTTAATTAAAGGTATCTGAAGTAAGCATCGCAGAAAGAGGATTTCCATTAACTTTAATTATGTGCCCGTGTCTACGATATAAAGAGGCTGTAGTGAGCATGTTTTCAAAATCGCAACTGGTGCAAGATGCTTTGAAAAGCGAGCAAGATTTTGATATACTAAGCAGTCCAGTGACTCGCAAAGAGTTCACAGTGCTATTGCCGAAAACATTTCCTAAGCTATTACACGAAGAATCTCTAGGATGGCATTTTTTAGATGAAGCATCGGTATTTTTTTTTTAATTCATAATAAGATTTATAAATGTAAACTTAGTAAATATAACAAGAAACTTGTAAGGTCAATGACTTTTTACATCTTTTCAGATTAAGAAATGTGAATGTAATCCCATAAATGATCTCAATTTACTGGACGATGCTACTCAAGATAACGTATTAAACATTTTAACGAAGTGGCATTGTATTTGTGGTAAAAAGGTAAACTTCATTATTATTTTTATTTTATTAAAATTGTAAGTAAAGATTTATTAATTTAATTCTCTTGAATAATATCGTTGACGCTAATGTAAGTCATCGATTATAAATTAATGATTACGAGTATTACTTCAAGGTAACATCAGCACAAACTTCAACCAGTGAGATACCGTCCGCTTCCATAGAGAAAACAGAGAGTAGTGAATCTGAAACGTTTTATCCATTACCACTACGTAGCGTAAAATCCTGTCACGGTAAAGTATATAAGTTTTTTTTAACAGTCGGTAAAGTTCTACACATTTAAAACGAGGACCATTTCAATTTGTCAGAATCGGTTCAAAGCAATTTTTTGAGCGCGAGTTAGTGAATATTTGTATGCTCGTTGTGAGACAGTGAGTGGGTACACAGACCTCCTACTAATTCGGACCGTATAGTATTCATGAATTGCAGTCTGCAGGGCAGCTTAGCAGAGACTCACCGGTGGTAGAGGGTCATATGAATCTGCACGGATAGGTACTACCACCCCGCCTATTTCTGCCGTAAAGCACTTGTACAGCGTTGTACTATAGGACGGAGACTTAGAACTCATGTCTCAAGATGTGTGACGGCATTAACCTTATTGATGTCTGTGCTCCGGTAACTAGTTAACACCGGGTGATCCCTGAGCTCTTTCATCCGTCAAAGAAAAAATAAAACACCTGCTCGATCTCGGTGAGCGAATGGATACACTTTGTAGTGGTGTCGATTGTAGAACTTCACACCAAAGTGTGAGCTTCAAACAAACTAAGAGCTTGTTTGCTTATTTAAAAAGAATAATAAAATTTGGCAAAAAAATATCGGGAATTCTAATATAAATTTAAAAAGGTAGTATGTTAATTATCAATATAAGCTGTATATAGAGAGATGGTATGTACATGTGAGGAGACGAAACGACAATGAGGTTGGTAAGAGAGTGTTAAGTATGAACGTGGAAGGCTATAGAGGAAGTGGTAGACCTAAGAAGAAATGGATGGATTGCGTGAAAGACGATATGTGTAAGAGGGGAATGAATGAAGAAATGGTATATGATAGAGGAGTATGGAAGGAGAAAACATGTTGCGCCGCCCCCAGGTGACCAGGAGAAGGGCAGAAGAATGATGATGTTCGTAGTAAAATTTTGTGCATAACACATTATTTAAATTTTATAATGCTATTGGATGTGAATCAGTGAAAATTTTATTGTTTGAGCTGATATTGTTTTCGCAGCGCCTGGCGGGCGTCTAGTTCTGCAGCCCGGTGACCTAGTTAGATGCAAATACTCGTTCAGTCCACACGTAGAAGGTAATTTTAGCGTGAAACGCTTCGTCGAAGTAAGCGGGTGGCCTGAATCGAGGGTAACGATCAAAGTTCGAGGAATATGCGATTTGCCTAGGTAACTTCAAAAGGAGTGCTTTTCATTCGTAACTAAAACCGTTATAAGTTTGTTAAAATGTTACTTTTCTTTTACGTGAATTATGAATATATATTTGTATGGAGATACTTACCCATGTAGGCTACAATACGATCTAGAACAAACAAGTAATTCTACAAATTTGCAAATTTTGCACGTTTGATTTTAGTGACACGATGTCACATCATTTTATTGAGTAATGGAGGCTACGACGATTTTATACAAACATGGTATTATTATATGGAAATAGTTACAGAATGTTGTATTGTCCATTGTCATATAGCTTCAAATACGAGACAGAGATACATTGCGTTTTAATCTAGAAATAGTTATCAGTAGAACGTTTTTTAATAATGGGGTAATAAAATCTAAGTCCTGTTTTTCTTAGCGCATGAATATAGTGAAATAACAATAGGATTCGATTTCATTGATTTTAATTCACTTACGTTCGTTTTGGTTTTCAGACTAGATACTAGACCTAAAAAGATGTTCCAAAATTTTATTCGTAGAACTATGGACGATACAATCTATAAAAAGACTTATTTGGATGACCTTAAAATATTTCAATTTGGACCAATTTTCATTGGAAATAATAGGTACAATTCAGTATATAAAATATTAGTTGATGTTCTTAGGTGTCGAATTATAATTGTCATAGTTTAATGTATAGTAGTTAGTATTATTTATTATACATGTATAACAATTATTCACGTAGTTTATTTAAACAACAAAAAATATTTCCATACAGAATTTACGAAGAAGAATACACAATTTGTCTCCGAAATTCATCATTAATAACCGCAGACGTGGATATAGAATTTTTGGAAGAAACTAGTGTTTTTCAAATAAACAAACAATTTATTCGATTAGAGGTACAATATTAATATCTTGCTCAAATTGTTTCTGGAAAGTTTTAAGTTTGTTTCACTTTTTATTTTATTTATAGCCTGGATGTCGCGAAACTGTTATTATTTCAGCGGCTCCTAATGAAGTAGGAACATATAACAGTGTACTGCTATTTTGCATCAAAGATAACCCTGAAGTGATAGCAGTAAATATATCGTGTAGCGGTGTTCTGCCTTCCGTTGAAATATTGCCACTGAATAAATTAATTGGTAAGTTTAAAGTAAAACGTCAAATTTATGCAGTCGAAACAAATTAACACACATCTTCAACTGTTCTAGAATACGGAAAACATTTACTGTATCGGCGTGAAGATGACAGGTTTATTGTAAGAAACGATTCTATTTTGCCTATAATGTGGAAGATACGAAACGCACAAGAGTTTTTAAAAGATTTCATTATAGCACGTACATCCGGTATAATCGCCAGGCAAGATAACCAAGTTGTGCCGGTGACGTATATAGCTTGTAGTGTTGGCGTCATTTCACACAAACAACTAATAATCGATGTGAGTTACAATTTTCACATTTCAGGCACGTGTTGAAAAATTACTGTTTTTGCACATAGCAATATTTTTCAGATTTACGACGAAGAAGGTCGCGGAGAACCCATGATAGTGGATAGCATATATTTATCGGCCGAATGCTATGACGTCATGGTGGATTGCGCTTACGAAAATCCTTCAGAGAATTTCCTAAACTACGGCAACGTAAAAGTCAATTCGACTGTCGTGAGAGAAATGTATCTGTTGAATCGCGGAAAATATAGTATTTATTACAAGTATGTCTCTTATATAAATTTAAATTCAATCGTGGCGATTCTTATTAACGAATTAAATTTCTTTTAAGACTTAAGAAGGTCAAGAATTTTCCGGAACCTTCTTTGCTGCGATCGTTCGAAGTCGAGCCGGAGTGTGGCGTTATTCCACCAACTTTAAAGCTTATTTCATTAGAATTTGAATGTACCCCTTCAACTTCTGTAAATCTTGTAAAAGAGCCCGCGTACATCTGCACGCTACTTGATAGCAGTAAAAGCCAAGTCGTTGTTGCCAAGTTTCCAGTTTGTGTTACTATCGCATCGTTTTACAACACGTAAGCATTCTATCCCTACTCTGTTATATCTATACTTCTATACTAATATTATAAAGAGGAATGATTTGTTTGTATTGAATAGGCTCTGAAACTACTGAACCGATTTGAAAAATTATTTAACTGTTTGGAAGCTACACTATTCCCGAGTGATATAGACTATAATCTTTTTTGAAAAAAATTTGGTATCATTACTAAAACTCCAATAATGTAACCCAAGGTGTAAAAAAAATAATGTACTACGACTTTGTAGAACACATTATTATTTACAAAAAGCGTCGCGGCATGTCTAACTATTATAGTTATGCCGTAATAAGTGATCTATTATTTAAAAAAATAAAACTACGTCAAATATCGTCGAAATGTTTGTTAAAGACCCGAGCAGAGCCGGAGCGGGCCGTTAGTTACTTAATAATCCTGAATATGTACCTCTCATGATATTCAGTTAATACAAGCAACTTCTCATCGTCCTTCTAAAAATTAGTTTCGTTTATCTTTTAGATTCACTTTGTTTCCACTGGGTGAGTTAAATTTCCACATAATACCAGTTGGCAGTGGCGTTGTGAGAGAAGTAATATTGAACAATACCAGTAAATGTCCCTTTACGTATGAAATCGTGCTGCCATCTCAGTACCAGCTGGATCCCGCAGTCCAGCAACTTCCAACAAAAGGCAAAGACAACAAGTATGACTTCATAATGGCACTTTTGTTCATGTTACTAGTTGTATCTCATAATTCTTTCATAAGCATTTACTACTTTACATCATTATTACTACAAATATAGTTTTAGATAACATTAAGAGTTGTATAACCTATTTTTATGTGTTTGTTCCCATTGGAGATCTTATTTACTTCTAAGAAACAGAATAACATAAATTTAATTTTTGACCAGAATAAAAAATCCTCCAATGAAATGTGGAAATTTTCTGATAATGAACGACGACAATCTTCTTGCACCCGGTACAAGTAAAACGATTCAAATACAATTTTTGGCGACTGCAGCCAGAAAATTCGAAGAAACCATTAATTTTATAATCAGTGATACTTGCCCGGCAGAGGCACAGGGAGTGCCATTAAAACTAGTTGGGACTGGAGCAATGCCGACTTTAGACATCTGGAATATAGAGACTACTTTTAGAGAACATTTAATTGTAAGAGATTTATCTGAATATAAAGTTCCCGAGGTAAGCACATGAGCTACTATGTTGTAAGTTGTAGTATGGACTACTATGCTACCATGTATGTATGGCTGAGTAGGTACATAAAATGTTTTGTCTTTCCTTTTCTTCTTTTCAGTATACAGCGCATTGTGTGTTTGTCGAAAATTCAGTAACATTACACTTCTTCAGTGTAACAGTGAACACTAGTTTCACTGCTGCATTAGATTTGTCTAACAGTGGTCTAGTTGCTTGTGCGTTAACAATGAAATTACAATACCAGTCGAATACGGACAATACGATATTCTCCTTAGATAAATATGAAACCCACATCGAACCATTGACTCATAAAAAGCTTGGTATAATATTTAGGCCGAAAGCTCTTCAGGTATTGTGAGATTTATTGTTATTTGTGAAATATTTTTTATTCGCTTCCTTATATTCGTCGATTTATCGTTTTCATATTTATTTTTTAGGAATACCGGGCAGTATTAGAGATAAAACTTAAACTGTTAGAAAACCAAGAACAATCGTTTCGGATTTGTTTGATAGGCGAAGGGGTTATACCCAGAATAAAAATTGTAGCACCGTTGTTAAGGCAAAACAGGATTGCGCTCTTAACATTTCCAGTTACCTGTCTAGGGTCGATTAATACTAAAGTCATTCGTTTTAAAAATGTTAGCACTGTCATAAGCGTTGTTGTTTTGAAGATCATAGAACAACAGCATGACCTACGACCAGTGTTCTGGTTATCAACTGCAGCAGATCAAGAAATCGATGTGATTGAAAATTACGGTAAAGTGCAGTTGTAGCCAATTTTTTTTTTATTTAGTATGCAATCAAAAGCTAATTAATGTCTACCTTCTTTTAATACATATAATCTATACCTGTGTTAATAATAATTTTAGACAAATCGAATCTAACAATGATTATAACATTGAAACCTGAAGAAATTGCTACAATTAACGTTAATTATAATCCACTAAAAAAAGGCAAGATTAGTTGCGACGTGAAACTGACTATTGTAGACAATCCTTATGAATATTTCACGGTAATTTGAAAATTTGTTTTTCACCGCTAACATAGTGTACATAATTTTTATTTCAAGTTTGTTATTAATTAAATTCGTTTAGGTCTTATGTGAAGGTGAATCCTTTATGGAAGACGTAATACTAATGGGCATAGAAATGCTGCCGATGGATACAGATTTAGAAACTTATCGATATTCCGGTGACGGGTAAAATTTCATGTTATTAATTTTTATAATTTCACAAACTATTTTGGGATTTAAAGTTAAAACTCGCATTTAATCGCCAGGACAATGTCAACAGTATCCACTATGGATAGTCGAAAAAAAAGCCGCAGTGCTCCTGTCGATAAAAAGAAATCTAAACAGCTAGAAACACGAAAAACTAAACGAGTGTCAGTAGGCTCTACGAAGCAAAGTGAATGTAGCTTACAAAACGCATGTCTAAAGTATGTCTTAGATTTTGGTGGATGTGAATTGTGTTCATTACAAAAGAGATCCATCATCATGATAAACAATTCGGAAAAAGTTTATAAATTTATTTGGGATAAAGTAGATTATATTGTGGTAAAACCATCAGTTGGTTATATTTCCCCTGGCGAAGAGAAAGATTTGGAAATAATTTTCTTTGCTGGACAACCAGTTGTTATTAAAAAGGTAAGAGAAGGAATTGAGATTCTGTGTAAATTACGTTAAAGTAAAACTAAAAATAGGGGAGTTGAATACTGTCGTCTTTATTAAATTCATTTGTTGAGCAATCAAGTTCAATCAAAGAACATAGATAACAAAAAATAAAATTGATGGAAATAGAAGTAAATATTATAGCTTTTTGATAAAGCTAGGAATTAAAAAAAACACGTTCTATCCCTTTTGCCCGAACTGAATTTTAGAAATGCGCATGCTAATCGTCACGATAATTTAAAGCAGTGCCCTCTCATTTAGCGTAAAATTAAAAACAGTATACATTACTTCCGTGTTCTTATTTTTTGTTTCCAATCATATCAGGTCTGAAGGGTAGGCAAGGGCGGATCCAGCTTTGGCGCCAGGAGGGGGTCACATAGTCAAATTTAGTTGCGTTCGTTCCCAAGCGTTTGCCATTATACAAAGTTATTATATTATATTAAATTAATTAAATATTGAAGGTATGTAGTTACATAAAATCTGTATGGTGACAAAATATATAAATAAAATCATTATATTCAATTAGTGGTCCACCTAAGTCCTGGAACCAGCTCAGGGGGTGGTCATGACCCCCATGACCCCCCCCCTGGATCCGCCATTGAGGGTAGGGCAGCCTTTGTTACTATACTGAGATCTTAGAACTTATACTCAAGGTGGGTGGCGTATTTACGTTGCAGATGTCTATGGGCTCCAGTAACCAGTTAACATCGGGTGGGCTGTGAGCTCGTCCACCCACCTAAGCAATATTTTATTTATTTATTGCGAGTCATGATGAATCACGGTCTAGTTTTATGTCAAAAATGTCAACTTGCTTATTGCAGGAAGTCTTCCATTGTACCCTGACAGTGATAAACGATGGTACACTAGGTGATCTAAACGGTGCCACATGGGATAACCGCCAAACTATAACATTGTTTGACCAAAATATGTGCGTTCCTAACTAATATCTAGTTATTTTTTTATCTAAAAACTTTCATTAGTAATTACAAATATTAATTTGATTGGTATAATTTTAGAAGCGTCAATGAAAGACTAGAAGTCGTTTTAGAAGAACAGCCAACCTTACCTAGTGACTATTTCTCTGAAATAAATATGGTAGTTATTTATTCAGCGATCACTGAATATACGAAATATGCATGTTCATTGAATGAAGAATATATTTTACCGGATACCTTCATATACCAAGTACGACTTTATTATTATCAACTATTAAATTATATTAATAAAGGCATAATTCAAAAGTGGTAGGAAAAGACCACGAGTTGGAAGCTGAACACGTTGGACTGACTAGATCCGCACTACTCTCGACACCACAGTCCACGATGCTCTACACTCGACGGCAGATAGGGACAAATTCGTCGTGGCCCAAAGGATAAGACGTCCGGTACATTCGTATGTAGCGATGCACCGGTGTTCGAATCCCGCCGGCAGGTAACAATTTTTCCATTGAAATACGTACTTAACAAATGTTCACGATTGACTTCCACGGTTAAGGAATAACATCGTGTGTAATAAAAATCGAACCCGCAAAATTATAGTTTTCGTAATTACTGGTGGTAGGACGTCTTCTGAGACCGCACGGGTATGTAGCACCACCCTGCCTATTTCTACCGTGAAGCAGTAATGCGTTTCGGTTTGAAGGGCGGGGCAGCCGTTGTACTGTTAAAAGTGAGACCTTACAACTCATGTCTTAAGGTGGGTGGCCGCATTTACGTTGTAGATATCTATAGGCTCCGGTAACTACTTGACACCAGTTCGGCCGTGAGCTCGTCCATCCATAGAAGCAGTTAAAAAAAATCTTGGCGTAGAGTGGTCCATAATTAACTCTTGTTGCGAGGAGGTGGTTACGACCCTTTGCATTAAGGAAACCGAAGCGAGACGAGAGTTAAAAATATTAAGGGCTAAAATTGTAGTACCTATTAAAATTTTACATTTTAATTTGTTAATTTATTTACATGTATATATTTTTAGAACAGAACCATAGACTTCGAGGTTGAAAATGTAGGGAATGTACCCATGAAGATAGCTTGGACCTTTCAAATTGACGATGAATTTCCATTAAGAGTTTTCGATAATGTTTGCGGATCGGTAAAATCTGTTATAGTTTTATGATATTTAATGATTTTTATTTTATTTATTTATTTTATCATTGAAATTATTGTAATCGAAAATTTTAGATAATTGAAGAAGATACAAACAATGTTAGTGTCGATGATAGTTTTAATGAGTACAATGCAATGAACAGAAACGAACTACCTAATATAGACCAAGAAAAATGTAAGTGTTTTAAAATAATGATGGAAATATACTTTTTTCACATTATAGACATTTAACTCTGACAAACAACATTTACATTAAACACTGACAAAAACAAAAACAAAATAGCGTGGAGCACTGGCACAAATGAGTAATAGTCTATACACTACACGGTCAGCTGCTGCGAATTATAGGCGCTGCCATATTGGCCTTGGCTGCTCTGACGAGCGCCTTTCACTTTATCCCTACTCCGCGGCTGACCGTCACGCGACATGCAACACATAGAGAAAACATTTTGAAACGATGTAATAATAAAAGTTTCACTTTCAAAATAACGTATTATACTGTATGCTTTTCACTGTTGTACTACAGCTCCATTATTTTTCCGTTTATATCGCCCGTTTATGATATAAAGCCGTTAATGATATATAAAGAGACATTGTCCGGTTATCCGGTTTGTTACCTAAGCAGGTAGATAGGCCTGCAGTGAACTTGTTGGCAAATGATCACTGTCGCCTATAGACACTAGTACACTACAAATTACCTATTTTCAGTGCCAAGTAAAGAGACATTGTTTAGTAAAAATGACGACAGACAAAGCGTGGACACCTGGTTTGAAGTAGATTTACCGTTTAAAGTCGAACCTGATAAGGAATGTTTGAAGCCGAGTGAGATAAGGCAGTTCAGAATTACATTTTCTCCTTTTGAAGCTTTTAAGTACAAAGTGAGGTTAAGGAGTACAATTGGTAAATATTTTAAGCTAAATGTACTAAAAACAAGAAATAAATATTATATTTAATTATTATTATTATCTGTTGTTAATTAGAAGATACTGACACGCGTTCTCAACTTCCGGACAACTACTTTCCTATCACTCATTAGTAGTAGCAGCACTTTCAGTTATTTTCCTACCTAAATTCTTACTTCAAACCTGGCTATTTCTAACGCAATCGTATCGTATGCGCATAGAGAAACGCAAGTTTCTTCAACGCATTTCTTATTAGACATCCGTTGGAGAATGCCATTTAAGCTATTTCGCCTCTTTTGCGTTATAGCTCTATGTCACACTGTGGCATGACCCTCAGATACAGCCCACTGAGTTTCTCGCCGGATCTTCGCAGTGGGTCGCGCTTCCGATCCGGTGGTAGATTCTGCGAAGCACGGCTCTTGCTAGGGTTCGCGTTAGCAACGTCGTCAGGTTTCAGCCCCGTGAGCTCACCTACTAGTTAAGGTTTCGCTGAAATAGCCTCTCAAGGCTATCAGCTTAGGCAGCTAAAAAAAAACTGTGGCATGTTTCTGGCTTCTATAGCCGCTTAACGTAAGTTCGACTGCATGTAAATAATAGCACTTCGAGTTTACATTAGAGTGGCTATAACTGAATTAAATAATTGGATAATTGAATTGAATTTGAATTGAAAAATTGAATTGAATAATTGAAATTACTGATAATATTTTCGTTAGATAATTTGGATCCATACGATCAGAACGTGTCTTGCAAGATCATAGCCGATTCACTGGTACCGTTTTGTCATCTCGACATAGAAGAAAGTAACTATTTAACATCAGACAGAAGGAAACCGGGTAGCGTTGTACTGCCTCCACATACAGCCGTACTGGAATTTAATGTACTAGGATCTGGATGTTACAAAAAGTATTCGCATGTTTTAAATAATTTGTTATTTCAGTTAAGTAAGACAAGTGCAGATTTTCATGAGCTCATGTTCTGGCAAATCAGTAACGACGCCAATGCAGTATCTCAATGTCAAAAATTTTTCATCACAAGCGCTGGTCACATGTAAAGTGTTATTTGTAGTCAGAGATTCTTACACAATTCTCCGGCTATTACTCGTAAAGTTTGCATGTGACACTGGTGGTTACTTTGAGCCCGTAATAGTAGTGTCATCTCTTATTGCTTAACAGTCTCTAGGGGGGTCGGGTAGGCTCTATGGTCGTAGAATATGTTAATTTGGCACTTTTACCACTTATGGGACTTGCACGTAAGCGTTGAAATGAAAATGTAACGTAATAATTTAGGACAAAACTCGAATCACCATTTTCGTTTTTGCTATCAAGAAAAAAGTAAAACCCTCATAAGTTAAATGTTAGACAGAACATACTTCGATTTTTAATACGCTTTTATTAGCTTCCGACGTATGTATGTTATACCGGTCACTCACATGCGCACGAATACGCAAACCCACAAGTGTGGGACGACATTTGCAAATGATTATGCAAAGTTTTCGCTGCATTCGTGGTTTTCCAAGCTGTGTCGGTTTTTTAACAGACATCAAAGCGCGCGAACCGCGAACCTTCGCCTAGTCTCCCACACATTCGTTTGCCCAGTTGCGCCGACGATTGCGAAGGTAACGGACGTATCGCCATTTTCATAGTTCGTGACGTCTACTGTGTAGCGTATCTTCATCAAAAGAAATCCCATAAAAACAGCATGGCTGTTAATGATGTCTGGGAAAGAATTCAAAACTCTTTTTCTCTTTAATGTTCTATTGACGAATTAAAAAGGAGGAGAAATTCGTGAGACATTCGTAAACAAGTGTAGGAGGAAGCGCAAACGGGTTCGCAAATTGAGTATGCGAACCCATTTGCACAGCCGCTAGGTTTGCGAATGAATGTTTGACGGCCCTTCACATGCGCGCAAATATTCGTACATTGTTCACATGCGCGCAAACATTCGTACAATGTACGAATATTTGCGCGCATGTCAGTGGCCGGCATTAGTATGTAACGGAATCTTTGAACATGATAACTCCCCTCAAAACGTCGGATTAACTCGAAATTTGGTATACTTATTAAGGAACGATGACAATTCAATATTTAAAAAAATGGAAAAAAAATAAAAAAAATTAAAATTCAACTAAAAAACGAAAATCAAATACCATGCACCCCACGCTTTTTTTTACAATAAAATCATTTTTTCTTACACTATTTTTAATTCAAATTTATTAAAAATTATTTTCTATTTTTTAATTGGATTTTCTGTAAATCCGTATTTTATTAGTTTTTTTAAAATATTGTTTTTTTTATAAAGAATACGGAGGTAATTATCTGAATGTCCTAGATCGTTCAACGTAATTAATCCAACGAACGAACCTTACGAGTTTATATTTGAAATGGTTCAGTCTGACAGCGCAGAACTCGTCCCCGTTCACTGCAATAAATTAAAAGGATACATCGAGGGTGGTACACTAGCAGACGTGACGTTTACATTTTCACCAACAGAGCCGGGGGTAACTATTAACTAACTTTATAACACAGTTGTAACCTAACTATTTAATGCACTGCACTATTATTTTTAAACTTCACGTTATTTTAAATCAATTCTAAAATAAAAAAGTTAAGTTCGATCATCTGAGTACCAAGTTAAGAAAACCTATGTATTTATTACATGATATCGGACATCGGCAATGTTGTAAATGAGAAATAAGTTTTAGGTATATTGTGAACAAGTGATTTTATTTATTTTAATTTTTATTTATTTATTGTTAACTTAAAAGTAGAAACACAATCATAATTTGCATCTGTGCTTGAACTCGGTGATAAGACCTGTATCTCAAGCATCAGTGCTCCTCGTACAAAAAATACAACAACTTTACTTCAGATACACAAAAATAGAAAATTAATAGACAAAAATTAAACTGAAATTCATGGATTGAATAAAAGTGACAATATATTTAAACGATACATTTCCCGAGTTTAGTAATCTGACTTTTGTAGAACTCCAATCGTGCATCCTGAACTATTTTATAATATAAAGAGAATGATTTGATATTTAAACATGTATTTTGAAATGATTTCCAATCGTAGATTTATTGTTACTATAAATATATTATTCGTATCATGGATACCCAATTTCGAATAGTTCATTAATCTATCTATCTAAATAACACATCTATCTTCTATCTAAATCATCATCTATCATATCATCTATCTAAATAACACAATATTTGAAATGTTTATTTCACATTTTAAGGTTTATGAATCACAATGGAAATTCTTGATACCGTCACGAAATCTCGTCATGAACTTACTCATAGTCGGCACTGTCAGAGAACCAGACGTTGTGTTTGTACCCACGATTCTGGTCATTAAAAATTCATTGGTTGGCTTCACGAAAACCGACGTTGTGATATTACAAAACAATGAAAACGAAAGTCTGAAATTCGAATTTAAAGGTGATTCATTGTGCAACGACTCTGGGAAAACTCCAGTTGTCGTTGAACCCGCGTGCGGGATCATGAAACCAATGTCCGAAACTCCTATTAAGTAAGTAGAACAATAATCTATGCGACAAAGGACATGGGCCATTTTCGGCCCAGCTACTAGTGCTCTCAAGGACACGAATGTATGTCTGTGTTACAAAGTATAGTAATATAAATAATATTTAAGCTGATGATGATGTTAAAGTGTAAGTGCATTGACAGCAAATCATATGATATAGGTAACCTAAAAATCTTATCTTATTTCTTAAATAACTATGTATCCCCATGAACAATATTGATTTTAATTTGTTTATAATAAAAGAGATATATAGTCTGTTATTTAAACTTAATTTCATTACTATCCTTGAACTTCGTTTAGTGGGACGTGCAATGTATGGAGAGTGGCCCATGTCCTTTTATCTACTTAGAGATAGATAGATAGATACGTTAGATATTGCTCGTCGTTTATTTTACAGAATAATCTACACTCCGATATTGGACGGTCCGTTATCGTTCAAGCTATTCTGTAGCGTGACTCACTTGAAAAAGTTTTTGACTTTGTGCGTGAATGCGCTGAGCTATGAAATAAAACCTAAAGTAACGTATTATTTGATTGGGAACGAACACATTTTGAACAATGACACGTTAACTAAAATATATTTGGATCAGGTAATCACCTTTTTACGTCATCATAACGATAGTTTATATTTTTACTGGTGGTAGGAGTCTCTTGTGAGTCCGTACGGGTAGGTACCACGACCCTGCCAATTTCTGCCGTGAAGCAGTAATGCATTTCGGTTTGAAGGGCGGGGCAGCCGTTGTAACTATACTGAGACCTTAGAACTTATATCTCAAGGTGGGCGGCGCATTTACGTTGTAGATGTCTATGGACTCCAGTAACCACTTAACACTAGGTGGGCTGTGAGCTCGTCCACACATCTAAGCAATTAAAAAAAAACACCAGTTGGACTGTGAGCTCGTCCACCCATCTAAGCAATAATAAAAATCAACAGAGTCTAAATTTTACAATTTTTTTTACCTTTCCATTTATGTGACCGTACACCATTATCTTCGTAGACTGCGTCGACGTATGAAAGAACAGTACCGTTTACTATAAAAAACGATGGCTCCGCAACTTTCTTTTTCGATTGGCGTTATGATACGAGGGCCGTCAAGAAGTATCTACAAGTCACCGTAGAACCTAAGTGTGGTCACGTAACTCCGAGTGGCGAGGTTGAGTGCGTCCTGTACTTCACACTAAAACAAGTCCCGGTTCAGGCGTTCCCTGTTACATTATTTGTTAGTGAAACTAATGTTATTATTGATATGTTGATTTTTGCAATAACTGAAAGTAATTTTTTAAGGAATGTCAGTGGCTAGCGAAGCCATTGACGTAGGCTATCACTTTTTCGAAGGCATGCCGGGAACATAAAGGATTATCTCCACGAACTATTTTACTGAATACCGGCTCCGTATCGACACCCCTAGTACGTTAGGCTACTCAAAAGCCTTCGTATTGGCATAAGGGTATAGAGTATGGTATGAAATATGGTTTCTATTGGTATAACCAATCTGCCTAGTTTTGTTGCGAAACAACCGTGTTACCTTTCCTACCGTGTCCTTTTAATACGGTTTTAAGGGATTTTCTTTTGTCCATTAAGAATGTAACTAAGAGTTTAATAAAAAAATATTAATCTCGTTGGGGTAGCATTCCTGTTACTATGTCTGTCTGTGAGCTCGTCGTTGATTTAAGTGATGTTAGAAAAAAATAATTGTAGTTGAAATACGGCTCAAATATCAGATCAATTGATTTGTTTACAGATTTCTGATGGTCCAGAATATAATATATTTTTATACGCTGAAATCGAGAAGCCCTTGTACCATTTCACGTGTATGGATTACGATTTTGGAAAGTGTTTTGTGAATACACCAGACAGTACATACAAGAAAAATATAGCCTTTTGTAACAACGATAAAACCCCTTTGACGTATGTAAATTAATATGTTATCCGTATTGAAATAATTATTTTATTTTTGTACGATTTGTTTAATTCATTTCTTATTATTTTAATGACAGCATTGATTTGAATTTCAACAATTTACCGGAGTTATACGTCGATTATCCCAAAGTGTCCTGCGTTGAAGCAAATCAAAGACTTAAGATAGCTATTTTCTTTAGACCGAAACAAGTCAGAGAATATGAGTTTAAATTACAGTTCTGGGTCAACTCTCTCGTTGAAGAAGTCGTTACCATTAAAGGAGAAGGTGAATATTTAATTTTAACATATATATTTGTGTTATTTTCATCGTAATTGTATAATGTTAAATGTTTGAGTTCGGAATTTGTGCGGTCGTCTGCAATACATCGTCAATCGTTGTAACTTTGTATAGTTGTAGTTAAGACTGGAATGATTTTATTTTTAAAAGTTTATAAAACATGTGTTCTTTATCCATTTGTTGATTGACTGGATTGCATTGGGGTTAATGCCCTTGACTACTCGCCCGACGGTTGTGGGTGGGTCATGGCGGATCGTAAATTCATTACTACTTGATTTGTAACAATATTTAAATGTTCCATTTCGTAGGTGTGCCTTTATTATTCGATCTCTACGAAGGGTGCCAAAAGAGTTTCGATCTTGGACCGGTTAAACTTGGGGAGAAAATAATTCGTAGAATAGAAGTAATGAACCACAGTAAAATCCCGATCGATGCCAGTTTTATATTCAGAGATATGTATCCCGTTGTGGATGACACGACGATCTCTCAGATAACTAGCGTGTGCCTTAGTCCCAGTAACACGAATATTCAGGCAGATGCGGGCCCATCTAGGTATCAATTCAAATTATTTAACTGCAACATTTAAACACTAATGAGAATACATTAATGATGTTATTTCCTCATTGTGATAATAATTCAAGCGATCCAATACACTTTTATTATTTGATTCCAAAATAATAAAAAATCATTTGTTGACACTGCTGGATATTGATTTATTTGGATACCACTGTATTGAATGATTCACATTAAATTAAATCCTTACAACCAACTTACGTATATTTTGTTTAAAAATTTAGAGGAAAGATGCTTCAGGACCACAAAAATGACATTGTTACTAATCAAATTGCTATGGACATACAAAATGCTTTATCTTCTTTAAAAGTTATACCAAATAAATGCAAAATAATGCCGCATCGAAAAATACCTCTCAAGATTCAATTTAAGCCACTTGGAATGATTAATTCATTAAGCGTCCAGGTTTGTGCTTAAATAAATATGTAGTTACATAATACATACTTTTTTTTTCTTTTTTTTCCTACCTAAGCTGATGGTCTAGAGATACCATATCAGCGTAACCTTAACTAGCAGGTGAGCTCACGAGGCTCAAACCTGACGACGTTGCTAACACAAACCCCAGCCAGAGCAGTCCTTCGCAGAATCTACCACCGGATCGGAAACGCGACCCACTGAGATGATCCGGCGAGAAACTAAGTGGGCTTAATACATACTATACACAAGTACTACATTGCACGTATCCCCGTAGTTTTTCCATAAGTGTTTTACAAAGAAAGCTTTATGTTTAAAATATATGTCTAGACTGTCTTCTCTTTAATAGCAGCCTTAATATTTTCATATTCATAAAATTACAACAAAAAATTAAACAATTATTTCGCTTATTATACATTAATTGTTCAATTTTTTTATAATAATATCTACATTAGCTAAAAAGGTAACCCAACTAATTGTATTACTTAAACGTAATTATATGTTTTCATTTATGTATACTATTTTTGATATTTATGATGTCTGTGTGGGTTTTTTATTTTTATTTTAGTCACTCGTCATTTAATAGCTATATAGGCTATATATCGGTCCCGCTCGGATCCAACCAGAGACCCGGAGCGGGATCAGTTACCGTGAAGGACTAAATCCCTTCGAAATACTGATGTGGTAGGACGTGGGAACCCACCACAATTACATCCCAAGAGAGTCATGGACAGTGAAACATTTAAACAGTTTCAAAGCCATGACCACGACCCTCAGTAATGAGGAAACCGACGCAAGGAGGAGGAGGAGGCTATATATAATCTTTTATACATATTATTGATCTTAGAAAGAGCCTCGTACGAATCAATAAAAATTAGACTCTGGCCACATAAAATATGTATATCTTGTTCCCACTTCATTAAACAAACATTTTCATCTGATTTCCACTGTATTATAATAGGCTATTACAACCCTTTTCTAAATTTAGTTTTAATTTAATCTTCAGTTTATAATAAACAATAGTTTAAAAAAACTAACAAAATACGCTTTTATAGAAAATCCAATTAAAAAATAGAAAATAAATTTTAATAAATTGAACTAAAAATAGTGCAGAAATTTATTCTATTGGAAAAAAGCGTGGGGTGCTTTTCAAGGTATTATCAAAATAACCTTTCTACTCATATCTGTTCATAAAATATAACTAACTACTGATACCATGCACCCCACGCTTTTTTACAATAAAATCATTTTTTCTTACACTATTTTAATTCAAATTTATTACAATTTATTTTCTATGTTTTAGTTGGATTTTATATAAAAACGTATTTTGTTAGTTTTTTTAAACCATTATTTTTCATTTTTTAGTTGAATTTAAATTTTTTCAATTTTTTTTCGACTTTTTTTGTATTCAATTGTCATCGGTCCTTAATAAGTATACCAAATTTCGAGTTAATCCGACGTTTTGAAGGGGGTCAAAATCATGTTCAAAGATTCCGTTACATACATTCGTCTGAAGCTAATAAAAGCGTATTAAAAAGCCATTTCTGCTTCAGTTGAACATGAAAGTTCTTGAATTCGAAAAGCCCCTGGTGCGACTCAGCGGAAGCGCAACGGGCATGAGTCTTTGTTTGAGCCAAAATTCATTACAATTTGGGCGAGTACGTAAACGAGGCTGTAAAGTATTGAAAGTGATGCTATTGAATAAAGGGGACTTTGGTGCTAGGTAAGATTTACAAGGATGGAAGGTACTGAATTACACCTACTACTACATTATGTTGCAAGCAACCTTAATTTATTTGCGTACCTAACCCTCGCAACATGTGGTTTATGGTTTATCAAAAACTTAATAGCGGCAAAATTTAAAAAATATATGCACTCGTACGATATGTTTGATTGCTTGAAACTTGAAAATTGCAATGGAAAAGGTTTTTACCAAAAGACCTGAACACCAGACAGGAAGCAACAACATGCTTATTCTCGGTACGAGACTTTTAAATATTAAGGAGTGTTTTTTGTTTCCTAATTCGTTCTAATAGTGTATAATTGCATATTTAACATCATAACTATTATTTTGCCTTTGTCGTATCACTTTTATCAGAGCGGTCGTGGTCGTCAATCAGTATCATTGCTGTGGGCAGATGTTATGCGCCTCAAGAGCAATCACCACTCCTCCCGGTTTGTGATGAGCCCGATACACTTATGCAAACAGCCGCTAACTGACGACTTGACCTGGTCGGTCCATCGCATGGGCAATCTTCCACGCGGTCTGCTGCCTTCTACTTTGCTCTGAACGACAAGGCGCTCTACGGAGTCTTTATATTATCAAAGTAAAAAACACACATAATATATAATCTCTTATTCTAGATTTTGGTGGCAGCCTTTGACGTCTGACGAATTTACTATTTCCCCCCAAAAAGGAAACATCGCGGCCCATACAAACGTAACATTCACTATAACTTTTAGACCGCTCAATCACAATCCGTTCATCAAAGTTTGGGTATGTCTTTAATCATATTATTATATTCATATTTATTAAAGTCTGCCTTCACTAAAACTAACCAATATTACGTATTACGTAAAACTTTTCATTCTGAATATGTTAAATAAAAATACATTACGATTCTATGTGTTTGAGAAATATTTTGTTTACTTTTGTAAAACGGTCGGAACGAAATGACGGAATCCCCAACTTTTCTGTGTAAGTTACATAATAGTGTCATACAATATCTTAATGCTAAATTTTTTAATACTAACGTGTGTATGAAAGCTCTTGTAGTGAATTTTAATTTAGGATTATACGTGAAATTAAAATATCAATTCACAGAGGGCGCTACCTTACAATTATTTACTAATGACAAAATTTTACATATACTTAAGACGTTTAGGATAATTGTATTTTAATTTTGGAAGGTTTCACTTCTACCACGTGTGAATTGNGTGTGTATGAAAGCTCTTGTAGTGAATTTTAATTTAGGATTATACGTGAAATTAAAATATCAATTCACAGAGGGCGCTACCTTACAATTATTTACTAATGACAAAATTTTACATATACTTAAGACGTTTAGGATAATTGTATTTTAATTTTGGAAGGTTTCACTTCTACCACGTGTGAATTGCACACATTTTGTTTTTTTTTTATGTTCATTTCAGGCAAGCTGTAACATTGAAAACTTCATGCCACTAGAGTTGGCACTGTACGCGACTTGTGTTGATATAGGGAATGTTCAAAACAAGTCGCTTTACTTGGAATGTCCCGTACGTGAGCTACAGACCGAATATGTGGTGGTCACTAATCCGTGAGTTTGGCGTTTATTGATTACACATAAAAACAATTTTTATTTTTAATTGCTGTATTTTAACATTATATATACTGCATTCAATACTTGAAGATACGCATCTACTGTCTTAAATTGTTTTCATCTGCGGCTCGGCTCTATTATTACATTTGTTTCGAATTAAAAAAAATAAAATAAAAAAATTTCAATAACATGATTACATTTTTTTAAAGATAAAACATTGTAACTTTTCCGTTTTGAATTCGGCTTTCGTAAAACAGCACGCATGGCATATTTCTGCCGTGATAGATTTATGTATTCAAACGTCAAGTATCGGAGGTTGATAAACTTAAACAATAATACCCAAAACAATATAAACAACATGAAAAATACTGTTCCAACTACTGAACCGGGAATAAATTGTTACCTGAATTTTAAAAGGAAAACTGATTCTTCGTTAAACTACAGCACTAATATAAGTACAGCAGAGGTTGTCCCTGTCCTACGTTCTTTGACACGGTACATAATATGTACATTAACTTTTTTTGCAGTTTAATAGGACTATGTTTTTTGCAAATAAAATTCAGTTATACTATGCATATTCGTATCTGTGAACTCAAGCTCACGGGCCATGTACTGTACGGTACCGTTTATTGGAGCACACAGCCGAAAATATTCGATACATCGATAAAGTTGTAATCCTAAAATCGATTTTATCGCTCTAAAATAGCGGGACCGATATTACAAATCTATGAAAACTCAGAATATACACAAGTAAAGGTTGTAAAATTTTAAATCATACATGTCTTGTATCTTTTAGTTCTGATGATCTGTGGCTAGTTTTGTCGGAACTATCTGGTGGCCCATTTGAAACTCTAAAGCAATTCAATGTTGAACCCAATTCGACCTTTGAAATACCGGTACATTTCAAACCAAAGGCTATTGGAAAACATGAGGTTTGATATTAATAATCTATTCTTAGACAAATAATTAAAATATTAAAAAATATTTATATTAATTATGAAAGAAATATTGTGTTGTGTATTTAACCCATTCATATTTATTCTTCTGCGTCAATAAAGCTCCCATTAACGAAATTTGTAACAAATCAGACTGATAATTTAGAGAAGTATACACCTAAGGGTCAGTGGCATAAGGATCTAAACTCGCGCCCGAGGTTACAACACCTTTTTAGCACCCCGCACCCCTTTTGCGGTAGGCAGCGGCTTGGCTCTGCCCCTGGCATTGCTGAAGTCCATGGGCGACGGTAACCACTCACCATCAGGTGGGCCGTATGCTCTTCTGCCTACAAAGGCAATAAAAAAAAATAAAAAAAAACCCCTACCTTTTTATTTACGAATTAACATTGATTGTATTACACCAGCTCTAAATGTAAAAAATATTTTCTACAAATTAAAATTTTTTTAAACAATCCTTGTTTTTTGCGAACCATTTGGTGCACTTTTGTGAGTAGATCCCGGGGCATGATGCCCTTGCAATTGATGACCTTGACCCCCAACCTCACCCTTCCCTCCGCCACGCCATTGCTAAGGGTAAGCATTGAAATATTCAAAGAGTGTTAAGCAGCTTCATTAATCCATCATTATCACCTCGGCAGGGCCAGGTTGTGTTCTCGCCTCTCGGTGAAAGCGCTTTGTTCGTCAGTTTGGTCGGAGCAGCAACACACCCTAATCCGAATGGAACAATAAAGATAACAGTGGCTGCTAAAGATTCGCACATGGAAGAATTACTCGTTTATAACATTACTGAGGTTTTTTGGCTATTTAAATATTTCAATGACAATTTACTGGCGGTAGGACCACTTGTGAGTCCGCACGGGTAGGTACCACCGCCCTGCCTATTTCTGGCGTGAAGCAGTTTTCGTTTGAAGGGTGGGGCAGTCGTTGTAACTATACTGAGAACTTAGAACTTATATCTCAAGGTGAATGGCGCATTTACGTTATAGATGTCTATGGGCTCCAGTAACCACTTAACACCAGGTGGGCCGTGAGTTCGTCCACCCATCTAAGCAATAAAAAAAAAATACATTAAGTTTATTATTTAAAAAAAAAAAATTTCTGTACCTGGACATGTTTTTAAAAAAGTATAACAATTATAACACCTACGTTAACTAAATAGTTAATGTCAATGTAATAAAAATAAAAAATACTGATGATATTTATTATTTCAAATAAAATTGAAAACACGTTTCCTCCTCCTCCTCGAGTCGTGTTCCTCATGTCTGAGGGTCGTGACCACCATCACCCATGAGCTTCACTTTTAGGATCTTTTTCCACTTTCCCCTGTCCACGGCGTCATGCAGCGCGCTGTACACTGTACTGTCCAAAGCGGTGCGGATCTGATCGGACCAACGAGTATGGCTGCGGCCTCTAGATCTGTTGCCTTCAACTTTCCCTGTGATCATAAGTTTTTCCAGGTTATCGCCGTCTTTCCTCGCAATGTGACCAAAATATTCGAGGATCCGCTTCAGACATACAGTAGACAGTCTGATTTTGATGCCCAGTTGCTTCAATATCGACACGTTAGTCCGGAAGGCTGTCCACGGAATTCTTAGCATGCGTCTCCAACACCACATTTCGAAAGCATCGATGCGCATTCGGTCTGCTGCTTTCAACGTCCATGTCTCAGCTCCATACAAGAAGATAGAGAAAACAAGAGTCCGCACCAGTCTGGTTTTAGTTTTCAGGCCTATCCCTCTATTCTTCCAGATCTTCTGTAGCTGAGACATCGCACTTTTAGCCATTCCGATACGTCGGCGCACGTCAGTTTCACATGAGCCTTTGTTGCTGATGCAGGACCCGAGATACACGAATTCGTCTACAACCTCTAATCCAAGCGCCCCATTCAATCTTAGAACAAACACGTTTAACCTACACAAATTAGTTACAACCACAATGTCCGATTTACTAAATTAATAATATATTAAAATGATGAATCTTAACGTGATGTTACCTATGGTAGTTTCCAGAATCTTATTCAGTTTCAACAGAGCTAGTAAAGATAATTCCGGATAAGTTTGATGGGTACTACGAAATTAAACATCCTGAAACTATCAAAGTTTGGGGGGAAGCTGCGGCGACATGCAGGTGGATATTTGTCTGTTACGAAGCATGCGAAATGCAATTGAAAGTTAGTATTAAATTGTCGTAACTATCTTATTTTGGATTAAATTATTTGGAAGCGCAGCAAATCGGTGTCAGCTATCTACTACATTTGGCTAAAACTAGAGTAGGTAAATTGATTTGGAATCTCGACATATAAGGTGTTTACATGCTAAGACATAGCTAATCAGAAAATTTAGATGACTATATGTTAGACTAGGGATTCCAAAAGGAGGTACTCTGATTCTGGGGTCTGATGTATCAGTTCATTTTGGAAAAGGGATCTCTTGACCAAAATAGTTGGGAGTTCATATATTAGACCAATTGAAATACGGCAACATAGATAATCTTCTACGATATTGTGACCCGGGCCTCTTAACCAGTTCTTAACCAACCTCTAAACTGCTAATTCTTTACGATCGTCCAATAGTAGCAGTAGTATAGCCGCCTTATTTTATTACCTAGCTCTCTCAAAGATTTCTTCTGATGGGAGGGTGAATTTTGAGCTCATACGGTTTATTACTATTTGTACACAAATCTTATGTTCCGGTTCGAAGCGATGTCGCTATTAGGAAGACATGTCTAAAAAGTGATTTAATTTTCATTCAAGATGCAGCACGGTGTTATTAGTATATTAGTAAATCATAGTGTACTGGAGACATATTAAAGCCTTTACGATGAAAGCGTCAGCAAAAGGATGCTGGTAATTCAGCAGTAGGTACGTAACGACTTAGGTTTCGTCGCTGTTATTGCCGACGTCCATGGGCGACGGTGGCTACTTATCATCAGTTGGAACGTATGCTTGTCTGCTTAAGTCAGCAACAACTATTTCTTGATAAAATTTAGAAATTGATATCCTAACCTAACCTAACCTAATCTTTTAGGTATCATTTTCTACACGCCTTCTACACTCCTTTCTTTCGGATTTGGTTTCCTTTATTACCGTTCTAAAACGAAACCTTAATACTGTCATAGGTGATGTTCGTGAATGAGGTAACACGAGAATATCAGTTTTATAACATGATCGCAACGGTCACCCAGAGTCAAATTGTCGACACCCTGTTCTTCGAATGCCAAGCTCGCGAAACGATACAACGAGAACTGATCGTTTCAAACCCATTGTCGCAAGACGCAGAGTTCCGGGTGAAATGCGAAACGTTACATTGTCCGGAAGCTATGAAAATTAGTCGAAATTCAGAGGTAACGATCGCGTATAACAAGTTTATTTTAGTTATGAAATCATTAAAAAATGCAATATCCAGTAAACACAGGTCTTACTCGATTTCCTACGTGAGTCTAAAAAGCACGCATTACGTATATATAAACATACCGTACCTTGTGCATAGTCTTGGCCTAGAATAGCATCACCCTATTTCCGCCTGTCGAAGTCATCGTGGCCTGAAGGATAAGACGTCCGGTGCATTCGTATCTAGCGATGCACCGGTGTTCAAATCGCCCTGGCAAGTACCGATTTTTCTAATGAAATACGTAGGTCCTCAAATGTTCACGATTTACTTCCACGTTAAAGGAATAACATCGTGGAGTAAAAATCAAACCCGTAAAATTATAATTTGCGTAATTACTAGTCGTAGAATCTATTGTGAGTCCACACGGGTAGGTACCACCGCCCTGCCTATTTCTGCCGTCAAGCAATAATGCGTTTCCGTTTGAAGGGTGGGTCAGCCGTTGTAACTATACTGAGAGCTTAGAACTTATTCGATCAACATTTACTGGAGGAAGGGCGTAAGCCCACATTAGTAAGAACCATCATTTTGCCTATTTCTGTTGCAAAGCCATGTTTTCCATGAATGGTCAGTACCTAGTTCTAAATTACACTGAAACTTCAATATAACGTCTCAAAGTTGGTGAAGGTATTTAAGTTGCGATGTTTATTGGTACTGGTAATCATTTTGCACTGGGTAGGCTGTAACCTCGTTCACAACACTATGCAATTTAAAAAAAACACCGAAATTGTTACAGAGTATTTTACTGATGTCGTACTCGCCATTAGTGGTCGGCGAGAGGGAGGATACATTGGAAATCTACAATAACTTAGTTGGCACTTACATATACAGAGTGAAGCTTAAGTGTCTCCCGGGCAAAGAGAAGAATCTTGAATTTACGACAAGTTTTGGTACTTGTATACCTTTACGACTTCGAATACAGAATAAAACCGATGTGAAAACAGATTTCATAACTGAGGTAATGTACCTACTCTAATATTAACTTTAGCATACTCTGCCAAAACATAACCAAGATTTTCAGGGGATTTATGTGAAAAAGTTTCATGTTCAACAAAAATCGATTAGTTCGTTTTAGTGACCCGATACACAGCAATACTTGCTTCAAACTTTTTGAGGAAACTTTTGTTTTTTGTGTTTAGTGTTTATGTAGAAGAAATGAGCTGAGGACCTGTATTCGTGTTTTGATTGACCCGATTATACTAAGGTTCAAATCCTGTTTTTCTATATTTACTGGTGGTAGGACATGTTGAGTCTGCGCGGGTAGGTAACACCACCCTGCCTATTTCTGCCGTGAAGCAGTAATGCGTTTCGGTTTGAAGGGTAGGGCAGCTGTTGTACTGTTAAAACTGAGACTTAAAACTTATGTCTCGAGGTAGGTGGAAGCATTTACGTCGTAGGTGTCTATGGGCTCTGGTAACCACTTAACACCAGAAGGGCCGTGAGCTCGCCCACCCACCTAAGCAATAAGAAAGGTACCGATCATTTAAAATACGTGGATTAAAAGCGACTAACAATCGTTACTATATTAAGGACAAACAGGGACGTCTTATATATATATAATATATAGATATAATATGTCATTAATGATATTAGAATGCTGCTGCTTTTTTGGTTACGATTTCGATAACGGTTTCTTTCGGGATTTCTGTTGAGCAAAATCTTCTATTATAGGCATAGCATATGCCTTGTAAATACCTTCTGATTACTGATTTGTGAAAAAAGTGTAATGTGCCCGACATAAATGTTTTGAGAATAAACGTGTGAGAGAAATTGTCAGTCTTTCGGGCCCCCCTGAGAATGGGGGCCCTGGGCACGGGCCCCGTGTGCCCTTATGGTAAAGACGGTGTTGAGGACAAGTACAATCTTACGAACAGGTGTTTAACTTTTAGGTATCTCATTCTTCAATTCAAATAGATAAAGAATGTTGCTTGGGACCATTAGAAAAAGGAAAGATTTTAGTGTGGTTTGAACCAACACAGTTGGGAGTGCAGAATTGTAAAGTGTCCTTCAAATCGACGCTCGCTGGTGAATTTGTGTTAGTTCCAGAACTATTTTTAGTTATATTACGTTCATTGCCATAGGTACTCATCTATGGTGGTTGGTTATTACTAAATTTCTCGACAACAGCTTTAAAAATATTACAGTTTACTGGTGGCAGGACCTCTTGTGAGTCCGCGCGGGTAGGTACCACCACCCTGCCTATTTCTGCCGTGAAGCAGTAAAGCGTTTCGGTCTGAAGGGTAGGGCAGCCGTTGTAACTATACTGAGATCTTAGAACTTATATCTCAAGGTGGGTGGCGCATTTACGTTGTAGATGTCTATGGGCTCCAGTAACCACTTAACACCAGGTGGGCTGTGAGTTCGTCCACCAATTTGAGCAATAAAAAAAAAGTTAATCCTTTAAAGACTATTTCAAAGTTGAATAAGACTCCAAAAAGAGGAAAATATCAAAACGCGTGGGAAATACCCTGTAACTGAATGTATCGCAGTCTGATTGTCAGTATTATGATAATGTACTTGGGATTAACGCTTTGGTTCTGGATAGTATGGAAGAACTCTGTTCGGGTAGCGGCGAAAGTGGAATCTTTTCTAATAGTCCCAGTTTTTTTTTTTGTGAAAACTGCGACTAACGAATATTTTTTAATTAAGAATTTTGATGATTTTATAGATTTAATATTAAAGGAATAGCGACGGAACCCAAGCCGCAGGGCCCGTACGAAGTTAAGGCTGGTGGATTTACGTCTATTAAATTTAAAAACGTCTTCGATTCATCGAGAATGTTCAAAATATACGTAGACCGTGAGGAGTTTTACGTTAAAACTATGTTTGAAACTATAAAACCAAAGAAGGTAATGACAATAAAATAACACATTACTTTTTTATTTTTTAATAATATGTATTACACGAAAACGACATTTATAATAATCAAACGATAGTAGTATTGCATTATGTTCGAGAATAAATCCTACATTTTCGCAGGACCTGAGAATATCTGTTTATCTGAATGACAAGCCCGCACAAGGCTGGACAGAAGTACCTACTGGATGTTTAACTATAGAGACACACGAACCAGCTGAACCTAAAGTACACTGGACTTATTTTCTACAGGGAAAACAGTAGATTCAAAACGTTAATTTCTATAATAATCAATATTATAATGGGAATGGTTTAAATATATTTGGTTATTGAATAAATTGAATAGATTAAATTGCGTATTCAGAATTTTAACGACATCTATATAGGTGCGTGTCGCTGCGAGCATTCGAGTATCTGGTGCATTAATTAGCTAGAACGTGAAGCCTTAAATAACTTGATAAATGTTTCTCAATCGGGTTAATTGATTGGTTGGCTTCTCTTGGTTGGTTAGAACACTGTTGTCAACCCCCTGGCGCCGCGTGTCTGGTTGTAGTGTTAACCGCGGAAAATCCCCTACTCTGACCGGGTTTTGACCCCGAACGGACGTCGGGTGTAAGAGTGCAGGGGAGTCGTTTAGTGGGTGGGCCCTAAAATTCCATGGGCCCGCGGTCTGCTTCCAACACCTTGCAGATCGTTGAGGTCCGCGCACTCCCTAGGCGCGGGGACCTCGTAGGAGGTTCAGCCCCCGGCCAGAAAAAAAAAGAAAAAAAAAAGTGTTGTCAACCCCGTAAACGCTCGCTCAGTTTTCTAATTTCTGACAGACAAATGCTCGCAGTGAATACGCACCTTAAAAACATTCTCTTAGGATTATCTATTAATTACCAATCTCCTACACTGAGATCTTGAACAATATCGCCTTTATCAATGGTATCTCTTTCTTCTGGAGGTGAATTTCTTTTTGCGATTTTCCTTTGCGTCTTCTTCTTCTTTTGCTTCTTGACTTTGGGAGCGCGTGGTGGTTCCTCATCTTCGTCCGCCTCAAAGTTTGGTCTCTCGTCGTCTTCACTGTCTGAGGGGAACAGAACGAGAGGTCCCTTGCTCTCCGGCCGCTGTACTTGTTGTTCGGTGATTTTACGTCGTTTGATGACCGGCATCTGTCCAGCTATTTCATCATTGTTCGTTACCTTCTTACGTTTCTGTAACTGATTAATCCTGTTCCAGTTCTCGAAGAATAATTTTAGGGGTGTTCCCTTTGCCTTCATGCTCGTCTCCCACGCCATTATTGAGCTTTCGTCGTCCAAGGCAACAGTTGACTTTATACGTTCTTGCTCAATGAATCTTGCGTTTTCTTCAATTTTTTCCAATAGCTGGCGGAATCTCTTTGTGTAATTGGCCACTGAGCATGATTTTAAGAACTGTTTTAGCTAAAATAAAGTTTTGTCTGCATTATTTATTATGAAAACATATTGATTTTACTTGATATATATTTTTTTATTAAAATTATCTCTATAATGCTTGTTCATGGTGATTGACACACAAACTGACCAAGGAAGTATGCTTTAGAGTTCAAGGGGGTTATTTTATTTTTAATCTAATTACTCAGTTCAAGCTCTGTAGGTAATATAAAAGAAAATAATTTTAACTTTATCATTTACTTGCCTTGAACAGATTCATAGACATTATTTTGTGAGCCTAATGTATTTGGTCTGTTTTACTTTTTCAACCATTCAATTCTGGATTTTAGAGCCAAATAGTATTTTTTTTAGTTGATAGTCTTACCTGAATAACTGCTAGTAAAATGGTATCAGGAAAAGCAAATGTATGAGATTCATTAGCTGTGTACTCCAACATGAGGGCATACAGTTTATCTATTACAGCATCTTTGAATCCATTTTCCATCAGTTGAGACTTAGCCAATCTCAATATGCATGAAAAATCTAGAGGTTTCATTGAAACTTTTTTGTGTTTTTTATTGAAGTCATAGGCCAGAATCTAAAATTTTTAAATAGGTTAAGGATCATAATAATTTCCTAAGTCCAGTCACAAGTTTTGTTACAAACACTTCAATAAATATATTTGCGTGAAATGATCTTTATTTTCCGCAATAATGAAATAACACTTTTTTAAACATATTATTATCCGCAACACGCTTCGTCACTTCAATAAATATCTATTACATTAAATTTCTCTTTTAAATATTTATTTAAAAATATGGTTAAATGTAGATTAGATTTACTGGTGGTAGGACCTCTTGTGAGTCAGCACCCATCTAAGCAATTAAAAAAAATGTTCCTCTGGGATGGGGTATAGAAGTAGCTAGTTCCAAATAGTGCTTTACTGCTACTTTTATAGAAATGGCCCTCATTTGAATCATTGGTAATCCCAAATGCATTGATAATTTTATGTAATTAAATCATGTGGTGAGTGATACTCTCAAGTGTAAAGGGTTAATTCCATCTACAGATCCATCCTCTATGCTTGGTTTGATAAGTTAAAAAATGAAATACCAATTTTATATTTTCCCAGTAAAAAATGTTTTTCAAGACGATGATTTTGATGACCTTATGACTTAAAAGCGTTACTTACTTCTGTTAAGAAGGGCAGTACAGGAATGAAAGTTTCAGTTTCCTTAGATAAGTTCATCAGTATCTCCACACAGTGAAATCTCAGTGGGTAATATTGATGAGTTGGCACAAGTTTGATTGTGTTTATAGTTACCATCACAAGTGGGTAAATTAGTGGATGTAATGGTGGCCTGTTGTTGACGGCCAGTAGATCTCCCCATAAGCGCAGAGAGTTCACAAATTGCCAGTTGTATACAGCCTGTCTGTTCTCAATTTTCTGTACTACTATAGCATTCCTCAAGTGAATAGCTAGTTGCCTGATATAAAGAAAGACATGTCGATAGGCAACATCCAAATCTAAAGAGTACATTTCAACAAGGGATCTCCTCATAAAGTTTATTCCTGGCCATGTTGATGGACTCACAAATTTGCAGTTTTTTACATAAGTCATGTACATTACTTTCAGAACAGGATCTAGAAGAAGTGCTTGTTGGTTCCTGGTTATTCTTAAAATGCAGAGAAAAGCTAACACTCTCACAGTTTCTTCACTAGTGCTCCACAGTAAAATAAGTTTTCTTAATGCCATTTTAGCAATTCTTGGGAAACAAGCAATGAAAGTGCACATTTGGTGCAAATGCTTTAGCAGTACTCCCAAAATATTCTCAGATGAAATACTTAAGAGCAGTTTCATCAGATCAACTAAATACGACATCAGAGGACCTCTGATTTTGGAGAAATGCTTGCATTTTTGTGGTTCCTTGCCTGACTGTTCCACACCCAAATACTTTTTTACTGCACCGGGTAGATTAACAACACATAATTGAATGACAGCATTGAAAACAGATGATCCTGTAAAAGAATATTGTAAACATTATTTTTCTTAAATATTTTCTATCGATAATATATGTAAGCACATCTGTTTGTAGTCAGGAACTAATAGCATCATACAACACAACCCGAGTCTATGGCTCCTATTTCTTGGTGAGTTTTTACTTTTAGGTTTACGTGTCTATGGGCTCCAGTAACCACTTAACATGAAGTGTCATTCTTAAGCCATTTATGCCATTAAAAAAAAACAGCTATCATTGATAAAATTGCTAAGAATAGCAAGAAAAAATTTCATATTTGATAGGATCTAATTGTTGACATTGTGTGTATGTAAAATGAATTAATTTTAATTATTTGATAATTTTTAAATTCATACCCTCCACTTTCATTTCTCCTTGTGAAGTTCCATCATCACTACTAACTCGAAGCATAGCTGCATTAAATGCTTTTATAACTGTGATTAATGTGGACAGTTTAATCTTGCCTTCACTTTGCAACTCTGCTTGCCATTCCGAAACCATTTTAAGAGTGACTTTAGTATTGTCCAATTTATAATTGTCATTCTGTAAAACGTATATATTAGCAATTGACATGCTTGATCCACCTTACATTCTGAGCTAGATTTTCAAAACCTTTGCTTACAAACAATAAAACCAGTTCCAGTATAGAATTTACAGAAGTTCTTGATAAACCAAGGTCTTTTATTACATTATAAAGAGATTTTACTAGTATGCTTCTTGGACCCACTTTGACAGCATAAACTAAAGGTCTAGTTATCTTAATTTTATGCTACAAGTTTACCACTTTAAATTAATAGCTCTAAATTTCAATTTTAATATTCAATTTTTAGAATCACTTTTGTAAATATGGGGCAGGTGAATAACATACTTTTCTTTTTCTCCATAGGCCTATGGCCCTTTAAATGGCGAATAGTCATCAATCATGTACATCATCTTAATGCCCAGAACGCACTCAACCACCTTCTGCAGCAGACTATATTCAAATACTGTTTGAATAAGGATCGCCCAGTTCAGAATACACCGGAGGAGAAGATACATACCTCGAAGTCACTGTCATCACTATCAGCCTGCAAGGCTCCTGGTGTGTGTATTTTCTCATCATCTTCATTACTGTCACTCTGTCTGTCAGATTCCTGATCATCACTGGCTGCTTCAAAGTTCAGCAAATTCTCGTCATTCTCTTCAAGAAAATTATAGAAGTCTGGATCTGTCTTCTTCAATTTTTCCAAAGATTTTTTATGACTCTCAGGATTTGGCTCTTCATCAGAGTCTGAAAATGTACAAATTTTTGTGTAGAAATGTTGATTTTAAATGATTTAATCCGAAAAAATGCCTAGAAACTAACACATATTTTTATGATCATTAAGTACCTGATGAATCCTGCACCTGCATTGATTGGGATTTGATTGGTACAGTTGCTTTTTTCATTATAAATTAAAAAATATTCAGAACACTGTTTGCACGTGGGACCTTAGAACCAAAGATAGATTTATATTATTATATAGTTTGAATTATATTTTATTTGATTTTATCTCTAGTTTTTAATGTATTTCGTATGACCCGTAGTTAAGTTTCCTCATAAATGCCGGAAAACGCGGAACCCACCACGAGTCTACAAATTCTACAATCAACTTGTAGGTATGTGACATGTGTATGATAAATATTATCAATATTAAGTGTATAATCTATGTTAAATATGTTTAGTTAAAATACCATTAAAATACTATTTATGTTACAGGTATGTCAAATAAGTATTGATTTATTGATAGTTTGTCTATTTTTTTCAGCTTGACCGCATATTGCGCATAATTGTTCGTCCGACAAGTTAGGATTATTTGCCGGAAGGCAATGGTAGGTACCTTCGAACAAATCATAAATAACACATTTATGGTTTTAATTGGTTTTAATTGATGATATAAGAGTGGTTATTTTAATAAAATTCAATGATTTTATGTTTACAATGTATTGGTTTCTGAAATAAATGATTTTAATTTAATTTTTTTTATAGTGTGTAAACGATTTCGTAATTCATGTTAGGTTTGGTTAAGTTGAATTCTGGGGGTCGGCGGAGGGCGTTTGTCCAGCTCCGGCCCCTATGAGGAGGCAGTCTCCTCCCGGTGATGGTCACGGGGCGACCTAAGGGGGTTGAGGCTGCGCCGCACGCTACCGTCACTCTAGCGCGCTGGCACCAGGAGGACGGGACGACGCGTCGTCGGCTGCGGACTGCGATGTGGTCCGCATTTTCGTCGGCGCTGTCGTCACCGAACATACTGTGGAAGAGCAACCCGGTCGGCGGTGTATCGCGTTCCGACCTGGCAGGCTGGTTCTGGCCCAGCGGGGTATCCCGGAACACTAGCGGCATCGCCCTGGCGGCCTGGTAAGGCCACCGTACAGCGGAGACCGACGTCGTTGGTCGTCGACTATCGCCTCGACGACCCGTCGGTCGGGCGTCCTCGGAGTGGCACCACGTGTCTGGTTGTAGTGTTGACCGCGGGAACCCCCCTACTCTGACCGAGTTTTGACCCCGGAAGGAGAACGGACGACGGGTGTAAGAGTGCAGGGGAGTCGTTTAATGGGTGGGCCCTAAAATTCCTTGGGCCCGCGGTATGCTCTCAACACCTGCAGATCGTTGAGTCTCACATACCCCGCGCGCCCCCTAGGTGTGAGGACCTCGTAGGAGGTTCGGCCCTCGGCCCGAAAAAAAAAAAATGGTTAAGTTGAATTAAAATAATTGTTAAAATTAATTAAGGATTTTGACAAAATTACTTAAATTACCTACCTATTTATTTCAAAATCTATATGATATATCGGCAAGCAAGGGCAACATTGGCAACATTAATGTGTCAAAAATTGACATTTCTGGAAAAATCAAATTACGCAAAATTTTCATCAGTTAGGTTCTGTCAGACATCAGCCAGTATTCAGTAACATAAATTTCAAATGATAATACGAACCAAGACGACAATAAATTAATAAGCAATAATTCAAGCTGTATCAAAGAGAAAAAATTTAAATCCTGTTGAAATAAACGTATGTAAGTATACTTGATTTGCATTGGTACCAAATATTTGTGAATACGCAATAATTCATGAAAATACAACTACCTAAAATCCGAATAATAATAGACGTTTTCAGAATTAATTATGTTATCACGAATGTGTATCGGTCGCTCGGCGTTCAATGTAACGCAGAGTCTAAAATCGCCAGTACCACAAAATTTTGTACCGAGAAACTATGTGGTCAGAAATTATGCACGAGAACCTCGAACAAGGGTCGCTACACGCTCACAACCCACACTTCGGGAGAGACTCATGGCACCTGCTGGACCAAATGGTGAGTTACAGATTCATTTAATTAGTTCCAAATATTGTTTAATAAATACAGGAAAATCGGTGTATGCTTGTACTTCAATCATTTAGAAGAGTTTGCCGTTAATACACAAACTATCTAATGACTTTGTTTGTAATGATCTAATTTAGGAATACTTTTGTTAATAGTTATCACATCTATTATTATTGTTAATTAGATGTGATGGATGTTAAAACATTAAAACTAGTATTGAATTAGATTTTTTTTTTTTTATTTATTGTGTAGATAAGAGGTTGCCTTTCATCATTATGAATTTAAATGGATTAAAATGAAACCCACCTTAGAATTATGAGGTCAAAATGTTTATTAGATTGTAATTTGGCTGTCCAGTCCATCAAACCAGGTACCAGGATTGCTTTGTGATAGAAATAGCTAGGGTTGTGATACCTACACTTGCAGGCTTGCTACAACCTAACACCAGAAAATACTAACTGGCAATTGAAGTACCCTTAGAATAATATTTTTCCTCCTACCTACACCGAAAGTTCGGTTTTCCTCCCGCTGTACAGGGAAGAAAGTCTAACTTTTCCTCTTGCTGTACAGGGAAGAAATTGTAACTTTTCCTCCCTGGGTACTGACAAGTGCACATGCGCGTTAGTGTAGTCTAGTAAATTTAATAGTGAAGTGTTAAACAAAGATGAGTTCATCAGACAGTTCTTATTCAATTAGTAGTAGTTTAATTAAAAATTAAAAAACAATTAAATTGTTTTTATTATGAGTATGGGGGGCTCCGGCCCCCCCCTACCTCCGCCACGGCTTCGCCCCTGGTCTCCGGCTCGATACTCCACAAACTTTCGGCCTGGTAGGAGAAAAAATAGTATGTGCACCGCGGGAAAAAAGTAGGACATCTTATCGTGCGTGTTTGCCACCCTCAGCTCGGGTGGCAATTTTACACACGGCAGGAAATGTCCTACTTTTCTCCCTTGGTGCACAATGTACTATAGAAAAAGATGCTCCTCGGTCTCTAGTGAAACCCGTTGTTGCCTTTTATAATTCCCAGACAAACAAATTGCTAGTGCTATCCTAGGATGACACCACAAAGCCACAGTAAAACATGTATAACTGATTTTAATCATAAAAAAAATTAACAGTTTATTGAAATTCAATATTAGTACTACAATTACATACATTGTAATAATATATATTTTAGCATTCAGCTTGGGCAAGGGTGCATTAGCTGGAGCCTCTGCAGTTGGACTAGTTGCTCTGTGCTACTATGGCTCTGGGGTAAAACCAGGTACTCTTCAGGAATCTCAGTGAGTAAAATTTTATAATGTAAAAGATTTGACAGATAAGACATGATTGATTATGATAAAATTATTTTAGTAGATTCCATTGTTATTTTAAAATGTTTATGCAGAAGATTGCTAACTTTAGAGTGTCTATTATAACATTTTCTTCAATGGACAATCTAAAATTACAAGTTGGATCTGCTTTAAATTTTTATTGGTGATTTTTGTTGTTGTTGAATACCAAACAATGTTCCACCTGTTTTCAAATAGATTGTAGAACCTTAAGAAACCAACCTGAATATATAAGAAATTTCAATAGTATCATTACTAATATGTCTCTTCTATCTTTTAAACTACAATGTATGATTATTTCCTACCACAATAGGCCCCACTGACTCCAGTTCCTACAATGAAACCTTTGAAAACTTGGGACAGATTCTAACACCGTTGGCCTTATTTTTTCTCAGTATCGTTTCTTACTCATAGAGGTTATGTGTCGAAATAATCATATGTGCTAAGTGAGAAAAATCTACTAAAGCAGAAAGTTAGAAAAATGTACTAAGTGAGAAAAATCTACTAAAAGCAGTATTTTTAATGCAATCCAGACTTCTGTTACCATAGCAATATGTAGTGTTCCTAGCTAATTTTTTTTTGTTATAGGTATTTAATTTAAATATGAGTTTCTTTCACCTATCCACACTGCACACAAAGTGCAAACACAAATGTAAATGTCTTAAGGGTAACACATAACATGTAAATGTAAAAATTTCAGCCTTTGGCCACAATATGTGAAAGATCGTATAAAAACAACATATGGATACATCGCGGGTTCTTTGGTGCTGACTGCTGGTAGTGCAGTTGCTGTTTTCAGAACACCCGCACTTCTAAATTTGGTAGCAAGAAATGGATGGATGGTAAGAACCACTAAATGTAACTAATTTAAAGTAACACAAGCATAAGCAACCTGGGTTTCTAGATGAAAATCTACTAAATTGTGTATTAAAATTTCAGTCCATTATTGTAACATTGGGTCTGATGATTGGTTCTGGCATGGTAGTAAGAGGAATGGAGTACACACCTGGATTTGGGGCTAAACAATTAGCATGGATGGCGCACACTGGTATTATGGGAGCTGTCATTGCTCCAATTTGCTTCCTTGGTGGCCCAATCCTGATGCGTGCAGCTTGGTAAGAAGAACAATAAATAACTAGTATTTTATATTACTGTTTAGTCACCTCACTGTAATTATTTATTCGTAATCCAAAAACTTCGTACTTATATTGCCATAGCAATATAAAAGGCAAATAAACATACTCCCTATTAATTGTGAGAGAGTGAGTGAAACTGTCCATGAATAATGGGAAATCACCCACCAATGACAGAGGCACAGATAAGTTACTGCCAACTCATACAGGTAAGCATTCCATCGGCGCTTGTGCAGCTAAGAATTATACCAGGGAACACTGGTCAATGATAAAAATTTTGAAGGTCGCATTGTTCTCTTTGCAATTGTGATATTAACCTTTTTTCAATATGCAGAACATAATAAAATCGCAATTGCAATGCAGTATTTCATTGTGCGATATAATAAAAAAATAATCAGATAATCTAATGTGAATTCTAGGCCTGTCTCGTCATATAAATGATTTGTAAAGTTGTATCAAATTGAACAATTTTAATGTGGATTGAATGGCATCTTGTTTCAGGTACACTGCTGGTGTAGTTGGTGGTCTGAGTACAATTGCAGTGTGTGCACCATCTGGAGAGTTCTTGAACATGCGTGCTCCACTTGCTATGGGTCTAGGAGCTGTGTTTGCTGCCTCTCTGGCTGGAATGTTCCTACCACCTACTAGTGCTCTTGGTGCAGGTAAGAATCACTTAAAAAAATAGGAAAGTACTAGCCAAGCTATGTAGGAGGGCTTAATGACTACCTGATGTTAAAAACTGTTACTTGGATCCAATCACACTGCATCGCGATTGCCCTGGCCTGCCTTGAGAGATAAAAATTGAACCTCAAATTTATTGATACAAGTTAAAAACCTAAAGGTGCCAGTTATGAATTAACTATTTCTTTAATAAAAATTACATTGTGTTTACAGGATTGTATTCACTAAGTTTGTATGGTGGCTTAATTGTATTTGGCGGATTTTTGTTATACGATACGCAATCTATTATTAAACGCGCCGAGATGCATCCACCCTACGGATTCAAACCATATGACCCAATCAATTCGTAAGTAATTTTAATAACAGAATATTTCTTAAAAATTGTTCAGTTTTTAAACATTAAAAAGAACCTAAATAATTGAAAATTTTTAGGGCCATATCTGTTTATCTGGATGTTCTGAATATATTCATGAGAATTGCCATGATCTTGTCTGGAGCTGGTGGCAACAGGAGGAAGTAAACGAAAAATAACTATTGGATTAGAGGCATTATGTTGGCCATCTCTAGTATTACTAGACATACTGAAAATGTAGTGATACCAAACATATTTGTAAAACTATATAATATGTAAAAAAAATCTGTATTTTCTGCTTCCTACTCGATTTCATGTGATAATGTTTGTGTAGACTAAGGTTGTAAAATATATTATGGTTTAATAAATTAAAAAGTGCATTTTTTCTTTTATTTTTTATTTGTATCATCGTGTGGCCCCAATTCTTATTACAGTGGCCCGATATGTTTTGCGATAACTGCTTGTTTAAATGTTTAATAACAACTGTGTTAAATGCACAGCTAAGCAGTTTAAGTTAAGTTTAGCTCAAAATTATATAGTCAGTTATCGCGGGATCAAGGGATGTTTCATTAATTTCGTGAGCCGTTATTATTAATTCGCGTTTTCTGCAAAAAGTTTATTAATAACTAGCGACCCGCCCTCGCTTCGCTTCGCTTCGGCAACCGCAGTTTATTAATGATCTTATTGAAATTTCTTTTATACAAACCTGGCAGTAACAAACAATAAAAAAAGAACGTAACAAAACAAAAAATTCTTCATGGTTCACTAATTGGGCGATAATTACTTCACATAAAAGATATATCGTCGATTTTGTCGCAGACTTTTTTGTAGGATTATTTCAAATAAATATATCCATTTTATATTAACTATTTAGCTGATACCCGCGGTTATTGTTACACCGCGGTAGACGCTGCGGGGCGAAGCTAGTCTAAAAAAAGTAGCCTAAGTTACTCCTTATATCATCAGCTACCTATCAGTGAGTCTCGTCAAAATCGGTCCAGCCGTTCCAGAGATTAGCTGGAACAAACAGACAGACAGACAAAAATAAAAACTTTTGGTATATTACTATGTACTGTGGTATGCATACGCATTTAGTAAAAAGTGGTCATATTATTATTACAAACAGACACTCAAATTTTATTTATTTGTATAAATGGAACCTATGCTTCAAATTTTATTCTTTAACCCAATGTCTCTCACTGTGATATTGGAAATCAGATCAGAGAATTTATTCATTTATTATTTATATCAAATTAGAACAGAAGGGTCGGGCGACGGTGCGAAAATTTCCATTTTTTCATTCATCATTGAGTCCACAAGGGATACTTTTTTTATAAAATTGATATAACTAGAATAATATCTAACAAACTGTTTTAAAGTCAATATACAGGTAGGTAATAAGGTAAAACGTTAATTCAAGTACTTTATTTACGGAGTTCATAGTACATTCTTCTTGCAGATAGGCTTGTAATACATAATTTGATCATTTGGATACATTATAGGCCAGCTAATAAAGCATATAGTAAAAATATTAATTTCATGATTTCGGAGACAATTTTTTTAATATTACGACTCTTAATTTGTGAAAGTAATAATACTGAGAGCAATCATTGTGCTATTTAGGTACTTAAATAAGTAAGTTACTTAAATTATATTATCATAATTTACCTCTAAATAAAATATCACAATAAATTCTTAAGTTTATGTTATTCATGAAGAATTGGAATGACAGTAAAAATAATTGTATAGCAACCCTAACGCCTGCCGCGTCGGCAGCCGCGTCTGATCGCGCGCCGCGACCAATCAGGGACTCTCGTTGTCGGTTCTCGGCGCGATTCAAAGAGTAGCGACCGAGTGGCTTTCCTTTTGGCAAGCCGCGCGTACGCCTTTACTGGCGCCGACAGTTCACCCGCAACCACCGAAGCATACACACGAGAATACGTCCGCACCTCGCTCGCTACCATTCCTTTTCGAACTTGTTTGTGGGACCCTCTGGAGTATTCATACCCAGTGCTCCAGCTGGACAACACAAAACTGGCGCCTCAACGTGGTAAAGGCAACACAAAACTGGCGCCTCAACGTGGTAAGGAAAATCTAGCGGTGAGTCGACGAATCGTATCGGTTTTGCAAATAAAATTGTGAACTCATGATCATGGTGAACACTCGAAGTGATAACCGTGCTAGCCGAAATCGCAGGGATGATGATGCAACGGACCCGTCGTCTGTCCGCGTCCCGCGATCGGTCTCCCCGAGCGCGTCCGCCGCCCAAGAAAATGGCGCCGGTGACGCCTCGCGCATAATCTACGAGTCCTTTCGAGAAGCATCTACGAGCGCGTCTCCCGCCTGCGAAATCGGCGCTGCTGACGCCTCGCGCTCCAATCACCACAACCGATCCGGCGACAGCCACGTAGCCCCCGCCGAAGCCACCTTCTCCAGCGAGCACGTGTCAACAATAGTAGAGGCACTACAGCGGAGCCAAACAGAGGTTTTGAAATCATTATTTGAAACGATACGGCACAACACATCAACACCAGTGCCCGCATCACATGCACACGCGAACTTCGCCCGATGTACCGCGCGCTTTAGTGGGACTGCAGGTGAGTCGCTTGNTGGCCCCCGCCGAAGCCACCTTCTCCAGCGAGCACGTGTCAACAATAGTAGAGGCACTACAGCGGAGCCAAACAGAGGTTTTGAAATCATTATTTGAAACGATACGGCACAACACATCAACACCAGTGCCCGCATCACATGCACACGCGAACTTCGCCCGATGTACCGCGCGCTTTAGTGGGACTGCAGGTGAGTCGCTTGATGCCTTCTTGGATGCGGCCGAGGCCTATCGCGATTGCTCCGACATCTCGGATGAGAACGCCGTCCGGGGATTGTCGATGCTGTTGTGCGGCGACGCCGCCGTCTGGTGGCTGGGTGTGAAGTCCTCCATATCTTCGTGGTACGATGCCGTATCAGGCCTACGAGACGCTTTCGGTGATCGCAGACCTCCACACCGTATATACGCTCAACTATTCAAACGAGGTCAACAAAACGATGAAAGAACGGACCGTTTCATCGCTGTGACGCGCGCTCTTCTCGCGAAGCTACCTGCCGGCGACCTAAGCGAGAAAGTCCAGCTGGACATGATCTACGGACTCCTCAGCCGCCGCGTACGGGAAAGACTTCGCCGCGACGAAGTAAGTTCATTCGACGTGCTCCTGCAAAGAGCGCGCCAAATTGAAGACGCGACGGACGAACTTCGCTACGAGCACGACGCCTCAANAACAGTTTCTGCTTACGTTTGGGATTTCTTTGAATCCGCGCCTTCACAGCTTTTATTACTGCTGGAGTCCTAACAGACCGAGGGCGACCACTTCTTGACCTGTCATCTACACTAGAGTCTTCATTGTATCGTTTGATGGTACGATAAACGAATCTTTTGGTTATATTAAAATTTTTCAGTATGTTAAAAATTTGAATTGACGCGTAACCGCAACGATGCAACGCAATAACTGCAACACGGTCTTCTTTAAGCGTCCACTCCATATTTAAAAATGAGTAAAATTCTAAAAGTATACATTTTTATTTTCATGAACAATTCGAAATTCGGATTCAATAAACTTTTTTGTGGCCAGCATTCTAAAAGAAAAGTTTTTACTGTGTGACAATACTTATGGCCTGACTAGGTATAAGCTTAACGGCAGTTTCGTACGTTACTTTTTTTATTTTATTTTTATTGCTTATATGGTTAGACGAGCTCACAGCCCACCTGATGTTAACTGGTTACCGGAGCCCGTAGACATCTACAACGTAAATGCGCCACCCACCTTGAGATATAAGTTCTAAGGTCTCAGTATAGTTACAACGGCTGCCCCACCCTTCAATCCGAAACGCATTACTGCTTCACGGCAGAAATAGGCAGGACGGTGGTACCTACCAGCGCGGACTCACAAGAGGTCTTACCACCAGTAATTACGTAAATTATAATTTTGTTTTGATTTTTATTATCAGACAGAATAGAATAGAAACAGATAGAGTACAGAATTAGCGCACAGCATGTGTGGGAGCAGTGAAAGTGGAAATCGCCCACCGTTGCAGGTCAAGGCTTCCAAGAATAGCCTTCGGGAAACATTAGCCGTTTCAGTATAAGCCTCGATACAGATTCTATCTTTAGATAACCCAGTTTGTTCACGAGCTGATATGAAAGTAGACCTTGATGCTTGAGAATCTTTTTGTTCCTGTGCATTTTCTCGACTGTGCGATAGTATTTGATTGTAAATACGTTTTTTAATAACTCGACCTTCGATATCTGTGCAATGGATTTTTTAAATTTATTTCTTTTAACTTTAAAATATCCGATTAACCAGTCAATTTTCAAATATTAATAATGACCGATGACCATAGTTTTTAGAACGAAGTTCCTTATGGGACGATGCGGAGGGATATCCGGGAAAAAACGTCCGTATCGTAAGATTTTTATTAGTAATGCACACAGTGTACGACTTAACTTTGTAATAACGTACAAAAAATAACATATTTTTTTATCATTCATTGACCACGATCTCAGAGCGTTCGTTTGCGCAATACACTAACTCTTATGCAAACAACCGTGATGAAGTGTACCACAATAAGTTCGCACGTTACCGAATGACCGTGGGTTGTTGCGAAACCTCCAGTTTTATTTTCTTTATACCTCGAATAGAACTTAAAATTTATATTTTTATAATGAGGAACTTCGTTCCTATCCGGTGCCCCACGACACCACACATCCTTTTTTTTAATACCTTTGTCTTTACATCCTGAGCAGGATTCACAGGACAAAGTTCGGATTGCTATTAAAGATTGCTATTTTTGATTTTTTTTCATACCTTTTTGTGATTCGCTCTTGTTAGAAAGCTAATTAATAAGAAAAATCACGGCAAACATCCCCTATGTTACATCTTTTACTAATAAGGCTACAACATTTCAGATAACGAACGAAGCTCATAAAACATTGTAAAAACGATTCTTTTTGTTCTGTATTTTAAGAAATGTCTTCATAAAACGACAACGTCAAAAATCAACCTTATCTATACTAATATATAAATCTACCGTGGTTTTTACGGATGTTCCGTTATAACTATTGAACTATGCATCCTATTGACTTGAAACTTGGTATTCGTGTAGAAAATATATGTAGTTATTGGATAGGCTAATATATGAGTGTTGAACTCCCTAATAATAATGACAATAAATAATAATGTTAATTTTATATGGCCAGCGAAGCGCGCGAGTACCGCTAGTATACTTCGTTGCAATCATTGGTTGACGCAATCAATTGACTACTTAGGATATAGGATAGATTAAGTAATTGATGGGGAAGGAAGGAATGGATAAAACATAAATTTATTTATTTATTTGGGAAACCAATAGTACAAATCAAACATCATATATTAAAAAATAGTTAAAACAAAAATCAAACAAGCTACTGCCATCAAATCAGATGTACACACATAAGCAGAAAATGAACAAAGAAACATAAAGAAATTTATAAATTTAAGTATACAAAAAAATTTGAAAAGCAACACAATACGCACATATGTACATCCACCTCTATTGTATGTGTATATATAAATTTAATAGTATAAAATGTACCATAAAAATTCACTTTAAAAATATACTCATCTTAAATTCTTTTGATGAAATAAATACGGAGCGAAACCTAATAAGTTGTAAATTATGAAATTCGATAGCTTTATAATAAAATCCAATTCAGTACACGAAAGCTTATTGTTATGACATATTGGTCTACAGAAACCAGGGATCAGTTAAACACCTGTAATTTCTTCGATGAATTTTAACTTGCTCATTAGTTTAGTGTCCTACGGTGTAAAGTGTTTCTAAGAACAGTTTGCTATATAGCAGACAAAACGTTGCCTCTTAAAGCAACCCTTTTATGGAAAGTCGAGTGTCATTAGAGCGAAGGGTGGTTGATTACATCAACGTACTAGCGATTGATACGACGCGGCAAAAGCTCTTGAGCTCGAAATTAGGTTAGAGAATCTCAGATGTGAAGTTTAAGATTAGACTTTGATTATTAGTTTTTATAGGCGCGCGCGGCTGACCGGCCTGATCGTTAGTGGTTGGCGTTGATCATGGACATCTATACTTAACACATGGACAGCAATAACCACTTTTTTAGGGAGAGAGATTGTACATAAAAAAAAACGTGAAGAAAGATTAAATACAAAAAAAATTATTGGTGGTCTTATCGCTAAGAGCGATCTCTTCCAGACAACTATCAGGTGGACAAGAATCATTTGAAAACGCATTCACGCGGTGTACCAATCAGTTGAAAATAATAATAATAATAATAATAATAAACATATATATGCATATGCATATGTTGGAGAAGGTCATTAGTCTGGTTGCTAAACGACACGCAGCACGATTCCCCAGAGATGGCAGCACGATTGCGATATTGTCGGAACTCGGCTAACTTCGTGCTACGACAGAGCCTAGCCCATGGAGGCGCGTAGTTGCCATCACACTTACCAACCAACCTTCTTGAAGAGCGGTGCCTCCGTCCTAAGAACTGTTATTCGTTTTTGTTTCCTAACGTCGAGAGAAGATTTCTAAATTGTTCTAACGTGATTGGTGTACTCAATATTTCACTTAGCTCGATCACTCTATTTGCTCCTAAGATGTCTGACGATGGTTTTAATAATTGTGTTTTCTCCGACACATACCATTCTTTTAATTACTTACTCATATTTTTATCGTCCATATTAATAAAAAAGATACAAATGCATTGAAAGCAAGATACTAATAAACTAAAAAATGAGTAAATTTGAAAATTTTATTCCTAGTACATATAAAAAAAAAACAATTAAATTTCGAATTTATTGTCAGCCGTTAATAACATACGTTTCAAATTGCCAGTATTGTAAAATGGCAACTTCATAGGTTCAAAGACCAAATATTTATGTTGCGCTCTGTTAATGCGCAGTTTTATAATAATGATTTATTGAGAGACAATATCAGAGCGCTCTTGTAATACCGTGATATGAAGATTGTTTTAACATTTAATTAACCAATGGTAATAATAATAACTGATAAATTGCATTCTTGGTTTCAAAATAGCATAACTTCTGTTATTGTCTACACGACAAACGAATGTAATGACGCCGCAGGAAGAGGAAGAGTTTTTTTTTTAATGGCGAAGATGAAGGTAAAAAAAAGCGCGGGCCTGTTTTTTGACAGATGTCAAATTCTCGCGCGTTCCGATACACGGTCACGGATATCAAGTTGAATTAAATTAAATAAAATCTTTCTTATCAGTTACAGTGCAACGCGAACGCCCAGAATAATATTTACCTATAAAATACACGTCGGTGTCTCAATATTTCAAACGGAGGGTCGCGGAGCATAAAGAAGGTTTTCGCTTAATTAAACCATATCTTAATTGGAGTGGCGTCCGTTCCGACTCCCGTACGCGCTTCATGATAATTCACTAATTCATTATTCGAATAGTTTGTCCCCGAAAAGGTTGTGTTCGTTTAGTTCGCGTCTCGTGTTATTTTATGTTGGTAAATACTGCATTTCTTAGAATCAATAAGCGCTTAATAAACGAAATTAGACAGTAATGACCTCAAGACTTAGATTCATTTATATATTTTTTTAATTCGTGACTAAAAAAAAACAAAGCTTTATTTCTAAACATTTACACAAAATATTATTTTAATAACCTATAAGTACATATTATCCGCAACACGCTTCGTTCATTCATTTCATGTGATTTATTTGATGTCTAATGTTTTGTTGCTTTATTTACATTTTGAGAAAAAAAAAATTTTGATAACCTACATATTATATAGGCTTGTCAGTAACTGTCTAAGAAAAAATAATAAAATCGTTCGATGAACAGAAATTTGTGCTTAATTGTTTTGTATTTATCTGTTTGTCGGAGAAGCCACAATTATTAACACCATCGTCAGACATCGTAGGGGCGAATAGGGTGATCGAGCTAAGAGAAATATTGAGTACACCAATCACGTTTGTTGTCTTAGAATAATTTAGAAATCTTCTCTTGACGTTAGCAAACGAAAACGAATGACAGTTCTTAGGACGGAGGCACCGCTCTTCAAGGAGGCTGGATGGTAAGTGTGATGGCGTCTACGCGCCTCCATCGACTAGGCTCTGTCGTAGCACGAAGTTAGCAGAGTTCCGACGATACCGCAATCGTGCTGCCATCTCTCGGGAATTGTGCTGCGTTTATTTTTTTTTATTGCTTAGGTGGGTGGACGAGCTCACAGCCCACCTGATGTTAAGTGGTTACTGGAGCCCATGGACATCTACGACGTAAATGCGCCACCCACCTTGAGATATAAGTTCTAAGATCTCAGTATAGTTACAACGGCTGCCCCACCCTTCAAACCGAAACGCATTACTGCTTCACGGCTGAAATAGGCAGAGCGGTGGTACCTACCCACGCGGACTCACAAGAGGTCATACCACCAGTAAAAAGTTTCGTTTAGCTACTAAACTAATGACCATCTCCGATATATTTATATATGTAGTCTATATAGTTACTGCGATATTGGGGCCTATTCGTTCTAGTACTGAGTGAACATGATGTGGGTTGAGTAGGTATATGTCGGCTTTACGCCAGGGTTTTCACACCTTTTTTTATATATATTTTTATTGCTTATATGGATGGACGGGCTCACAGCCCACCTGGTGTTAAGTGGTTACTGGGGCCCATAGACATCTATAACGTAAATGCGCCATCTACTTCGAGACATAAGTTATAAGGTCTCAAGTATAGTTACAACGGCCGCCCCACCCTTCAAACCGAAACGCATTACTGGTTCACGACAGAAATAGGCAGGGTGGTGGCATACCTACCCGTGTGGATTCACAAGACGTCCATCAATAATAATAATAAGTTATTGAAGGTGTTTTTCAGGGTACGAGTGTCACCAACGCTCAGGTCCACTCGATTTTAGGTGTTTTCTGTAGGTCTGTTGCCGTCCCCTTGAGGCGGAGATCCTGATTTAATGAGGCAGGCAGCGGCTTGGCTCTGCCCCTGGCATTGCTGAAGTCCATGAGCGACAGTGACCGCTTACCATCAGGTGGGCCGTATGCTCGTCTGCCTACAAAGGCAATAAAAAAGAAAATTAGGACAGTCATGTTCTCGATTCTGTTGGTAAACATAACTGCGGAGCATTAGATGAGGTGCGACTGCAAAGCTATGCTGGAAAATCTAAGCTTAAAATTCTATGGATGGTGAACTTATGTTTTTTTTTATTGCTCAGATGCGTGAACGAGCTCACAGTCCACCTGGTGTTAAGTGGTTACTGGAGCCCATAGACATCTTCAACGTAAATGCACCACTCACCTTGAGGTATAATTTTTGTTCTAAGGTCTCAAGTATAGTTACAACGGCTGCCCCACCCTTCAAACCGAAACGCATTACTGCTTCACGGCAAAAATAGGCAAGGTGGTGGTACCTACCCGTGCGGACTCACAAGAGGTCCTACCATCAGTAAAACACATTGACAAATGACAAATGACAATGTAATATCACATATAGTAGGCCAAGGCTGTAAAACTCTCTTTCCAGTAATAGCAGAGCTCCATATATAGTCGTCTGTGAACCGTTTTTAAAGAAAAAAATTAACCTAATCATTAAAATTGTTCCCTAATATTGAATGTATAATATTTTTTGTACAAATAACTTGTTCTCCCTAATCACAATTAATTGAGAAATCTTTTAATTGAAATACGTCGGCATTCAGAACGTCAATTGTATTTTAATTAGTATATTTTATTAATGAGTTCGCCTCCCCGGCAGTTCTAATATTGTTTATATTTTGATTAATTGCGAAAAGTTTAGTTTTCAATGAGTGCCGATGTTTATTTATTATTCAGACTGTTCTGCGGTTTGCTAATTAAAAAGTAAGGTAATTTAAATGGCCGAGATGATTAATTGTTCTTATAATTTTGAGTTGAGATCGTTTTGAAGTTCGGAAATGGAAAATTTGTTTGTAAGTTCGTGTGGATGGCTATTGCAGAGTGGTTCTTTGTAAAGCGGATGATCTGTGCTCGGATCTGGTCCTCCCGAAGATTTTAAATTCAGCGGAAAATATGAAAAACTATTGTTTCTTTTATTTTCCGTGGTGAGTCTCGCAGACTCTCGGAGATTTGAATATTTCAGTTTAGCGGGAATCTAGACCTGGACGCGCAGGACCGTATGTTGTGGGGAGGCTCCGGGAGACCTGTGGTTGAAAGAGAGGGAGAGGGAATTATTAACATAAACGCACAAAAATAAATCTTACACTCATCATTATATGTCTAATGAGATTTCTGGAATGGTTTAAGAAAAAAAAGCATTTCCTTTACACGTTTTTAAAGCAAAACCTTCCACAGCAGAAACCCACAGAAAATCGGCTGCACAGAACATGCGGTTTATGCTCATGCAAAAAAATACAGACTGCCGCGACTCATCCCTGGGGGCTTACAAAACATTTCTTCCTACACTCTGCGGGGAGGGCGCGATTCTTCGTTTTAAATCAATTCAATTTGTAAACGTTGTACGATTTATTCAATAGCTGATGTTGCTTAGGGCGAACGTGGCCGTTTTTCTGGCGCCTCTCAGGCGAGGTCGTGGGCTTAAGAACGCTCATATATGTTCAGTGAACCTGTTTGATCAATTAAATTAATAAAATGAATCCTAATAGAATAATATCGCTCTGTGTCGACAATGTCGGGCCTAGATTGCTAAAATACCGTCTTCCGTAACTTCAGCGAACAATAATTCTAAACTGAAAATTTAGAGAATTTTTTTTGCCTGACTTAAATTATGAAAAAAAAATGCACTAATACCACGATTATTTTCAGTTAAGTGAAAATGGTTTATTTTGTAATATTTTGTTAGCGAAGTGGTCCTTGCCTTGACTCCTTGTTGTGAGAGGTGAACATTAGAATCCTCCAGAATTTGACGAGTTTCAGACCTGATTAGTATGACTTTCTCTCCTCTACCTATTTGCTTGTAGCCTAAGGGACTATTCCAGCTTTGCGCGGACGGGTATGTGAGCTCACGGGCTCAACCTGAGAGAATTTGCTAACACTAGCCCTAGCAAGGGCAGTGCGTCGCAAAATCTACCACCGGATCGGAATCGCGATCCCCTGAGAAGATCCGGCGAGAAACTCAACGACTTCTACAGTTTAATCACGTATTTATTTACATTTTGTATTTACCTGCATTCCGAATGCCTTCTATGATGATGAATCTTCTTATCGTGAAGACAAGTCAAACGAATTGTCAAACCTTAATATTCTGCGGTAAGCCGAGATGTACACAATAAGAATTATTTTTTGACAAATCATAAGGACGTAGTTAGTGCAACATTAAAGTTTCTACGTCTTAGATGGAAAAATAATGAAAAAAATAGCGCTAGTTTTCTTAAGGCATGCTTGATTATTGCGCAGGCTTATTGCCTACGTTCACGCAAGGTGCGTGAACGGTTTGTGGCAGACAGAGGTATGACGTGTCCATCTATCAGTACGAATGGAGATCTGGCGGGCTAAAAGGCAAGCCGCATACTATATTTCATACCAAGACTTAACAAAGACATACATCGTCTGTACATACGTTTACCAACAAGACATCACATGGTTCACGTCGTGTTTACGACCTCTTGAATAAAACTAGTCCTCGATGCCACTAAAATTTGTTTCATGCTCGTTTATTTGAACGTAAAAATTTAACTTTTACGATTCGCGCATTCGAGAACGCTGCTCTGACGATGTAAAAATAATTATATTGTCTATCAAAGTCCGTTTGGCTTCTTACAATTGAAATGTAACTGCAGTTCAGCATTTGTTTTATTGAAAATTATTATCGCACTCGCCAGCGTGTTTAACGACCTATATCTTTTAAGCTATTGCATAGCTTCTATCGCGGGCCTTGAACGCGGCGACTGAATCAAGAAATTCTGTAACGAAAATAACCTGATACCCCCACTACGCCTACTATGTAGCTCGCGTTCAACACATTCACACGTTGCGCTGGTGTAGTGTTTGTGAATAAGCGCGCGGCGTGACGTCGCACTGCATGAGCATCATGAAAAGTCTGCCCATCCCTCTCTCACGCGGTCTAGCTTATGAGTGTGAAGGGGACAGTTAATGTTGTGCTTTTGTTAATGTTTCTAAATATAGCGTCGTCTTATTTTTATTATTGTTTTAATATTAAATTATTATTGTCTAATTGTAATTGCATAAGTTGATAAAAAATGCTTTGCAATAGCTTTACCGCGGCAGTCCCCGAGTGCCACACGTCTTTTTTTTTAGCTTTGCGTAAAACTGCGATTGAGCACTGCTTACATCTATTATTAGCGTAGCACGATGGTTGGAGCCAATATGGTGTTAAGTGGTTCGGAGTCCATTAACATCGCAACGTGAACGCCGTCTTCCGTTTTGAAACTCGTAGCTAAAATCAAAATTGTAGGACGGCTACCCCACCATTCAAAATGGAACGCTCACAAGAAACGCGCGATTTTATTTTTCAAATGAAACTTCTTTAGGCGTTTTGAGAGTAAAATTTAACACGTGTCAGATTCGTTATTGCTGGAGATAAAAGATTTAGGACGAGCGAGAGTGAGAAAACAGAGAGAGCGTCTCGCGAACCTTGGATAGAAGGAGAAAGCGAGCTGGGTCGTTTCTCTTATACACATTCTGTTTACGGGCGTCGGCCACTTGATGGCTTGTTATTAGTTTCTCATTGCTCTTGTAGATGACAGTAACATATTAACTATATTATATTTTATTTTTAATAAAGGATGTAAGAAAATAAATTTTTCTATTTATAATTTAAAGTATATGTATATACCTAGTCAGGTCATAAGTATTGTCACACAGTAAAAACTTTTCTTTTAGAATGCTGGCCACAAAAAAGTTTATTGAATTCGAATTTCGAATTGTTCATGAAAATAAAAATGTATACTTTTAGAATTTTACTCATTTTTAAATATGGAGTGGACGCTTAAAGAAGACCGTGTTGCAGTTATTGCGTTGCATCGNCTTCTAAATACAAAGAAAAACTGAAACCGGTAAGCTTCGATTTACATTTGCGTGTATACGGCTATCCCTAGTAGTATTGTAAACAAACTTCGTTGTCACTTCACTTCGCTCGAGGCAGGTTAATTAAGATTAGTGTTTACAGAATGCCAAATCAAGGTCATTCCATTGCGAATGCGAAGTGATGGAGAATTTCGTAGTGAGATGCGAGTTCTTGTTTGAATTTTAGAGAATCGCACGGCTGACGAACCTTGTGGCACCTGTTTCTCATACCATGTTCCATAACAGGCACTGGGTATTCCAACAAGATTCGGCGTCAGCTCATAGAGCGAAGAGCACACAAGACTGGCTGGCGGCGCGTGAAATCGACTTCATCCGGCACGAAGACTGGCCCTCCTCCAATCCAGATTTGAATCTGTTAGATTACAAGATATGGCAACACTTGGAGGAAAAGGCGTGCTCAAAGCCTCATCCCAATTTGGAGCCACTCAAGACATCCTTGATTAATGCAGCCGCCGATATTGACATGGACCTCGTTCGTGCTGCGATAGACGACTGGCGGCACAGATTGAAGGCTTGCATTCAAAATCACGGAGGTCATTTTGAATAAACTTTAGTGTCATAAGAATCTATGTTTTGTTAAGTTCATTTTGGTATATGAATGGTTACATAATGAATAAACTTGTTTCAATTATTTTACATTAAACATGTGACAGAATTTATGACCTGACTAGGTAAATGGTGAAGAGGACGATTCTCTTAAACACAGCATTCCCTATTACAAGATAAATTTGATTTAAGGATGGAAAATAAAGAAAACCGCAATATTACACACCGACACAAAAGAAGTTTCACTTTTTTCGCGTGCAACTTGTTTTTTCTTTTATGCGGTGTTTTATTCCTTTATCATACGAGTCGTTCACCAACACGTTTTAGACACGTGTTTACTTGGTAGTTTGGTATCTGTATGCTAGATTAGAACATTCCTTTCCTTTTTACCTGTAACACAAGTTCTTTACGAACTTACCACGGGACCGGTTAACGTGGCGTGATTGTTAGTAAAAATATTTATTCGCATCTTTGATACGAAGAACATCGAGTGTCATATCGTTTTTTTTAGATAGGTGAACGAGCTCACGGCCCAGCTGGTGTTAAGTGGTTACCGGAGCCCATAGAATGCCACCACCCACCTTGAGGTATGAGTTCTAAGATCTCAGCTTTTACAGTATAACGGCTGCCCCAACCTTCAAACCGAAACGCATCTGCTTCACCGTGCGGACTCACAAGAGGTCCTACCATCAGTAATGGTATTATAATGGTTTGTGCGCCGATGTCTTTAACACTTCAGTGTTGTTTATTTATGTTTTGTTTTTTTGTTTTTACAGGATTCGTTTTACAATAATGCGGTAGTCAAATGGAGCCTAGCTTTAGCGATACGGAAGCCGGTGAGTATTAAATTTGTCTATTTATCTAGAATAGAATAGTGGCGTGATTATTTTTGTTACGTACCATCCGTTTGAGAAATCGATGTTTTGGGAAAGAGTAATTCGATGTCAGCACGGGGCAGTCGTACTATAGAACTAAGATTTAGAGCTCCTGTCTAAAGCAAGTTGAAGGCATTTAAATTGTTGATGTCTATGGTCTGATAGGTCATGAGCACGTCCATTCGTCTCAGGCTTACAGTGCGACAGCTGCCCCACCCTTCAAACCGAAACGCATTACTGCTGCAATAGGCAGGGTGTTGGTACCTAACTGTGCAGGACAACGAGACGGCCTTCCAGAAGTGGTAGGTAGACGGTAGGGTGTCTTATGTAACTAATATCTAATTGCGTTTAATGAAAAAGTTAAAGTAATCTATCGACCGAAGTTCACTGATAATATCTCGACAGGAATTAAGGGACTTTGTTTTCGACAATGATTTCAATTTACTTGTTTAGGAGAATTATAGACGGTAGCGGCTTTAATTTAATCACAGCGGCCCGTCTACGTCAAAAAATACTGTTGTAGAAGGTGAACCATGAGCATTCGTGAGCAAACTTCCCGTAGTGTTTAAATTTTAGGAAAAACTAAAAACATCGTACGCCCCCATTCTCGAATCTACGACCTATTGACTAGCAGGCACGGCGAGTGCGTCTTCTTAAAGTTTTTAGTCGTCATACGGCCTATCTAGTAGTGGTCGTTGTCTATGGGCATCAGCAATGCCAGGAGCACAGCCAAACTGCAGACTACTACTGAGGATTCTAACCAAAGAGCGTTTGATAAAGGTCTGGGAAACACCGTGAACGGCCTCATCTGGACGACAAGGACTCCAAGGACGAATGTCTACAAAGCAATATCTACGGGCACAGCTTAAGTGGGCGATCTATACGTCTGTCTACGTTGTCAATGAAAATAATAAATTTTGGAACATCACCGTTCGAGATGGTTCCATTATGACCAGGAGTTGTATAAGGGCTATTTCTCCGAACATAGCGGCGCTACGGGCAGGGAGCGGCCAGTAAATCAAGCCCTCCCTCGAACATGGACGTTATATAGATTTAACGAGCCTCGTTGTTTACAACATTTAAGAAAATACTGTCTAGAATAAATCGAAGATACGATTCCAATGCCTTTTTTGGAACGAAGTTCCTTATCGCGCGTTGTGAAAGGGGGCTAGACGGAAAAAATTCTTACGAAAAGTTGTCACGACACTTTTTGCTATAAATTCTTACGAAAAGTTGTCACAACTCTTTTTAGATCCGTCATTCTGACCAATCAACGTGTAGGCGCTTATCGCGTGACATTGCTCGTATCCGATTGGTCCGCGTAATGAGTACAGTTTCTCGAGATAGCGTTTCAACAATAGTAATTTAGTTCATAGTATTGTTTTTTTCTTCTTCATAACGCCGTAATTTATTATTATAACTTTAAAAAAAAATTACAATTCCTTCACTAATTAATCGAAAGGAACTTCGTTCCATCCGGGTGTCCCTTGACACCTCTGAAGTTTTTTTACTGCTTAGATGGGTGGACCAGCTCACAGCCCACCTGGTGTTAAGTGGTTACTGGAGCCCATAGACATCTACAACGTAAATGCGCCGCCCACCTTGAGATATAAGTTCTAAGGTCTCAGTATAGTTACAACGGCTGCCCCACCCTTCAAACCGAAACACATTACTGCTTCACGGCAGAAATAGGCAGGGCGGTGGTACCTACCCGTGCTGACTCACAAGAGGTCCTACCACCAGTAAATACAAACACACACACATATATTGGTTGTCAAATATTTACGCGAGTGTTCAGAAATTTATTTTGTGTAAACTAAGGAATATACATTACGATACACCTGGATTCTGCTGCTTTAATTGTAAAGTGATATTTAGCTTAACTACATGGCATAATACATTATTAGTTATGCGCTACGAAGTTCGACGGGTTAGCTAGTACCAAATAAAACGGACCTTTAATTACAGAGATAAATGTCGCGTATTAAGCAAAATGTCGCTTAGACCAATAAATAGCCTTCACCTTCGATAGAACACATTCCCGATCCTGCGGACAGAATGGAAAGCAGTCGACGTCGCCCAAAACACGTCATCTCGGATCCTCCCGATCCACTAACGGTGCTTTTAGGTACTTCAAGCACCGGTCACCGTTCTCGTCTCTTAAATAAAAAAAAATTAACTCTCAGACACAGCCCACTGAGTTTCTCGCCGGATCTTCTCAGTGGGTCGCGTTTCCGATCCGGTGGTAGATTCTGCGAAGCACGGCTCTTGCTAGGGTTCGTGTTAGCAACGTCATCAGGTTTGAGCCCCGTGAGCTCACCTACAAACGTTAGGGTTACGCTGAAATAGCCCCTAAGGCTATCAGCTTAGGTNATAAAAGTAAATTAACTCTCAGACACAGCCCACTGAGTTTCTCGCCGGATCTTCTCAGTGGGTCGCGTTTCCGATCCGGTGGTAGATTCTGCGAAGCACGGCTCTTGCTAGGGTTCGTGTTAGCAACGTCATCAGGTTTGAGCCCCGTGAGCTCACCTACAAACGTTAGGGTTACGCTGAAATAGCCCCTAAGGCTATCAGCTTAGGTTGGAACAAAAAAAAAAAAGACCTATCTTTTAAGACAGCTATTTACATTGGGAAATTGGTATTTCAAATTCGAATATATCGTCCTTGGACCAATACAAAGCGTGTGGACTTTGATGGATTGGCTGGTGTCGGTCACGGCGCGTGTGCGGAGATTTTACTCAACCGTCCGAGATTCATATGAAGATTATCGTGCATTCATCGTTGTTTAATAAGTACGAATAATTATATGCGTCATTTGTTACAGCGTGATCCTCGTGTTTAGGTCGACGATTTATTTTTCTTCTTTTTATTGCCTTATTAGGCAGACGAGCGTGCGGTCCACCTGATAGTGAGTGGTTACCGTCGCCCATGGACTACAGAAAATCCAGGGACAAAGCCAAGCTGCCATCTGCAGTTAAAGCTGTTTAACTTGGGCTAATCTATTGGAATGGTGATACGTGAAGCTGCAGTCAATTAAAACTATAATGTGACGTAAAAATAAATGTGTCGATGATAATAAGACATAAGATTTAGAAAGATACGGCATTATTTAAGGATTAAAATGAACCCTTTTTATTTATTTTTTTATTGCTTAGATGGGTGGATGAGCTCACAGCCCACCTGGTGTTAAGTGGTTACTGGAGCCCATATACATCCGCAACGTAAATGCGCCACCCACCTTGAGATATAAGTTCTAAGGTCTCAAGTATAGTTACAACCTTCAACAACAAGTTAGAACCTTCGAATACAAGGGTTTAAATCTAGAAATGTTAGTGGTGGAAACAATCTATTTATCTCTATACGTCTCGTAACATAAGCAAAATTGCAAGAAATTTCGATGCTACCAAAAATATTCGTAAAAAAACTACTTTTAAATACTCCCCCCAATTCGCGGGAGGGGGGCCGCGAGCTATGGCATCGGAACCTTCAATCAATCACCGACTGACATAATGACGTCATCCATTATCAATTATTGACAGAGCACAGGGATCGGATGCCGGCGATTTTCCAAGTTTTCTGCCTGGAGGGATATAAGACATGAAGGTTTTAGATTTGTTATAAAAATGTTATCGGCATGGATCAGGGTTTCCCAAACATAAAGCCCCGCAAACTATCAACGTACTTTCCTAAAACGAAAAGTTAAGTGAACAAGACAAGAGTTTAAGTGAACAACACAAGACAAGACAAGATAACAACAAGATATTCAAATATATAAATATACAGTATCTTGAACAGAAAATAGGTTTTTGTTTTTAAAAGGATTTTATGACCTGGTAACTAAGACCATTAGGTCATGTCTTATTTTAATTTATATTCTTATTTTATGAAAAATGATAATATGGAGTGAAATGAAATGAAATGAAGATGATTATTTGAGATATTAATCAACTGGCATGAAATGAAATGAAATGAGATGAGATGATAGGAGATGAAATGTAATCTTAGTAAAATAGTGGTCATTTACTGAGATTTTTTTAGTGGACTGTTCGGAGGATTCTGAGAAGTTACGTCCAGCAGCTTTGTTTCTTTTTCCCACATTTGTGCACTTTTACAGATATTAAACAGTTAATAAAGCACCGTTATTACACATTTAAACCTGAAGAAACACTAAATAGACAAAATAAAACAAATCACATAACCTAACTCCTCGCGTTCCCGCCAAAAAGTCCACAGAAAATACAAAAACATAGCAAAAAATATATATTAGTATAGTCCATTTACTAATTAGGTTCATGTATGTGTAAGTTCGTGTGCACGTGTAGCTACATTTACGCGATGGTTGCTTTATGGTGGAAGTAATTCGTGAATGTGCTATGTAATTACTTAGAAAAATTAGTAAGTTCCAAATTCAACCTACCGAGTGACATGAAATATGAGTTTTATTTTATGCGCCATATTTATGTTAAAGTCATTCTGAGAGCGTTTTTATCTTCAAAATGGGGCATTGACTATCTTAGGTATTCTATATTATCTGTGGTTATCGATCACGCTCCGCTGTGACAGATGTTAATTCTGTGAAATACACTGATTTCTTGAAACTACTCGCGCGTCACCTATTGTACGTTTATGGTATCATGGCAGAAACCTTCCTGACAGTATCAATAATAACTGTCTCAAGTTTCATCACAATCGGTTGAATGGTTTAGAAATTCATTAAGGTTAAACATTCGTATTCATTGATTTAGAATGTTTTTCAAGCCCTGAGGTAACTCGACCTTTTAGTCTGTGTTAGCTGTAATAATAATTACCAATAAAATGGGGAGATTTTATAAGACTTAAATAGGACCTTTTGAACAAACCCGATATGCAATGGTCTTGTGGTTTTGATACTTACTAGTGGTCCCCTGGTAGTTGAAACTTGACTATAATTAATTGAAATTATAAGCTTGTACAGTATTATG